TTTAATAGTCTATAGTTAACAGCTATTATTTTTATATATATATATATAAAATCTTCTACTGTATATAATTTTTTATATAGTAGGAAGTATATTTACTTTATAAGTTTATCTACTACTATAAGGATATTATTATAGGTAACCTTTATAAAAGGTTCCTATAATAGTAGTAAGTCTATAATATAGTTAAAAGTAATAACTTCCTAGGGTAACTCTAAAACCAGTAAAGGTTGCAGTATTCTATATAGCTTATATTACTTATATTTTACTTATTAATATTTATTATATATTAATATAATATTAGCTGCTATTTTCTTTATTCCTTAAAATAAATAAACGGTGCGTATTTATTAGTTTATAGTTATAATTCCTTAATATTTAAATTAAAGGTACTTATAAATATATTTTATAACTTTCTTTCGTAAGTCTAGTAGTACCTAGTACTTTATTTCAACTATTAGTTATCCTTTTTTAAATGTAACCCATAAGGGGAACTTATCTTTTGCCTATTTTTTAACGTATTCTTTAATTTTTTTAAGTATTTTATTATATTCTTTAACCTAATATATTATATATAATTCCCTTTATTTTAGATTTCTTTATTTATTTTTTTAAAGGATTTTTATTTAGTAATCTAGGACTTTTTAGAAGTGGTTAGGTCTATGGTTTAAGGTATTAGCGCAGCTGTTTTCTATTCCTTTACAGTATATTAATTTATAATTATAGTTAAATAAAAACTTAAAGTATTTTAATTAGCGTTTAAATAATTTCTGGGTAGTAGTAAAAAACGTAATATTTTTATAGTTTATGTAGATTTTAATTTTATGCTTATTTCCTCGGCAGTAGTAATTCCATTCGTTTATATAATCTTTAATTCCTAAAAATTCTTTATTGTAGATTAGATAATATATCTTAGTGTTATTTAACTTTTAGAAGTAGAAAGCAATAGGGTATAGCTTTTTATTATCACTAAGTTAGCTTATTACTCCTCCAATTATATATTCTAAGGCGTCCGTTTTTATTATAATAGGTTTATTAAGGTTGTATATTACTAATACCAGTACTAAAGTTATAGTATCTTTAAATACTTAAAATACTTATTCTATTTCTTTAGTTTATTTAAACTCCTTTTCTTTTTTTATTATATTAGTTAATAGGGTGGTAATTAAAAAGAAGTTTTTAATAAATTGTCGGTAATAATTAGTTAATCTAAAGAAACTCTATATTTTTTTAATTAAGTTAAGTAATAGTTAATCTTAAATTATAATTATTTTCTTTAGGTTTATTTATATTTCTTTTGGAATTATAATATATCCTAAGAACTTAACTTCTTATATATAGAACTTATACTTTTCTAGGTTAATAAGTAGGTTATTCTTCTATAGTATTTATAAGATTTAATAAATATACTGCTTATATTCTTCTATAGTTTTAGAGTAAATAAAGATATTATTTATATAGGTAATAGTGAATTTTTTTAAATAGGGTTTAAAAACGTAATTAATTTACTTTTAGAAGAATACTAGAGTATTAGTAAGCCTTTATAGTATTACTTAAAACTTATAGGATTCTCTGGGTATATTAAAAGCTATTTTTTACTTATATCTTTTTTTTATTTTAGTAAGATTATAGGCTCCAGTAAAGTCTAATAAAGTAAACTATTTACTGCTTTATAGTTTATCTTTTATTTCTGTAATTAAAGGTAGTAGTATTTTATTTTTAACAGTAATACTATTTAGTTATTTATAGTTAATAATTAATTATAGTTTACCGTTTTTTTTTAAAATAAATAGAATAGGATATTTTGTAGGTAATTTAGAAATTTAAATATATTTTTTTTTTTTCTATTTTTTAATCTATTCTTTAAGTATTTTAAGTTTAAGTTAATTAAGGTTATATAAGGGAAAGTGTTTTAATATAGTCCTTTCTTTTAGCTTAATTTTATAATCCTATTTAATATATAGGGGTAATTTTATTTTCCTTTTTTTATCCTTTAGTGTTTTTTAAAATAAGTCTTTATATTTTTAGTATTATTTTAAAATATTTTTCAGTAGGTTAATAACTTTTTTTAAAATATCTTTAATTATTTTAAGGTATTTGTTGATTATTATAAGTTCTTATTGTACTTAGGTAATTCATTTATGGGATTTTACCTCTGTATTCTTTGTTTATTTATTTTAATGTTAGGGTAGTGTATTCTTAGGCTTAGGGAATTAAGGTTTCTGGCTTCCTTTATCTTCCTTTTAAGTTAGAGTTTTTTTATTATTATGCCAACGAATTTAACCTATACTTTATTATATATTAGGTTTATATTTACTTAACTATAGTATTCTTAAGATAATATTATACTTTAGGGTATTTACTATATTATATATAATTAAGGTTTTACAGTTTGCGATTTTAAAATATAAATAATTAGTCTACCTTTTAATCTATTTATTATTATAATTAAAAGGTTATCCTTTAGCGTAGTATAATTTATATTTCTTCTTTTTATATTTTTATAATAATTATAGGTAAATTACAGTTTTTATAAAGATATAGTTACTGTTTGCTTTAATATTTACTATTACTATAAGTATTTCTCCGTTTAGTAATACCTTAATAATAATTTTTTTTATTTTAGCGTTTTATTCTTCTTTATTACTGTTATAGTTATATTTTTTATTAAAGGTCATAAGGTATCGTTAAGTCTTTTAGTGCCCTTCTATAAAAAACAATTCTTATTTTTTAAATGCCAGTTTTTAATTTTACTATATATATATCGTTTATATTCTTTATTTTTATATTTCTTTTAATTTAAGTCTTTAAGGCTATAGTGGAGTCTTATCTATTGTATATAAATTCTACAGTTTATTATATTATATTCTTTATTAAGGGTTCTTTAGAGTTTATAAAGTATTATTAATTATTCTTTAGTAGCTCTTTTATAAGTTTAAAAGTCGAATCCTTATTAAATTAGATTTATAGTAAGTTTTTCCATCAAATTTCTTTATTCCCTGTTATAGTCTTTATACTATTTATTTATTTTTTCTATATAGTACTTAATATAATTTTTTTTAAAATATCCTCCATATTAATAAGTAAAGCAGTCAGTTATTCTATAATTTAGCTTATACCAGCGAAATATCTTTCCTAGCTTATAATATTTATAGTTTTATTTAAGGTATAACTTAATAGGTCTGCTATTTATATATTCTTTTAGTAAGGTAAGATATAGTTTAAGAATAGTAATCCTTAAGTTTTAATTTTTATAAGTAGCTTTTTATCTTTAATGCTAATTAAATTAGTATATCTTAGTAATTAAGTAGTTATAAATCCTTTAGGAATAGCTATTATATTTTACTTTTTATTTAAAATGTTATATATATTAATTATCTATATAGTTAATCTAATATACCTTTTTATAATACTAATGGTTAAGGTTAACCTAAGGGTGATCTCTTTAGATATATCGGTAGGCTCTATATATTTTAAAGATTTCGTTAGTATTATAGGCATATATAATTCTTTATTTATTATTATATAAGGCCTATACTCTAAATTGTTTAAAGAATCCTCCTTTAAAGGCTTCTCCTTTTATATACGCCTTTAGTTGGTTTTAAAGTTTACTAATTCTTTTGATTTCCAGTAGGTTATATCTAAGGTTAGTAATATTTACAGTGTATTAAAGGGCTAGGGGTATCCTATAGTTCTATAAGTCTCCTCTATAGTCGTCCTCTTAAATATTACTTTCCTTAGGTATTTCTATATTTAGGATAATATTTTTTAATTTAAGGTTGGAGTCCTCGTAGGTAGGACTATCTGCTTATTGTAGGAGTGCTATTACTTAGCTTCCTTTTTCTATAAAATAGACTTTTTTCTTAGGTTTAGGGATTTTATCTTTTCCCTTATCCTTTTTTAAAGCTCTGCAGTTTTTAGCTATATAACCTACTTTATTACAGTTATAGCACTTAAAATCTTTTTTCTTTTATATAGCGTTAAAGTCTATTTTTCTTAGTTTACCACTATTATCCCTAATGACTTCCTTATAGTATTTCTTACCTTAGTTAGCTTAGTATTTATTCTATTATATTTACTAGGCGGTACTAGTCTTAAGTTTATATAACAGGTTGTTAGCTTAAACATAAACGTTTATAAAGGAGATTAAAGTATAAGTTATTTAGTTAATGTTATAAACCTTTTCTTTAACTTTTTATTTAAGTTTATCGTAGAATTGTTTAATAAAAGCTAATTTATTTTAATTAAATTAAGTAGTAATATTATGGAATTTTATAGTATAGTTTAAGTATTTCCTTTTTTAATATATAGTAATTAAAGTATTTTCTACTATTTAGTTTTTATTAATATCTTTAAATACTTTCTTTAGTTTAAAAATATATTTACTATAATTATTAAAGATTTCCTAAGTTTATTCTTTAGCTCCCTCAGCTGGGCTTTTTAAATAGTTATTTAAAATAAGTTTAAACTATTTTAAAGCAGTCTTTTTAAGGTATAATAAAATAAAATAAACTTTCTTTTTATTTATATTAAAGGTGTTTTTATAATCCTTAAAATAAGCTTTAAGTTAGATTAGGTGTAAGCGGAGCTTTTTAATATTTTTTTTAAATATAGGAGGTGGCTGGCGTTTAATAAGAATTCTAATATTAACTGTCTTAGGTTTTTCCTTATTAAGTTTATTAATTAAAACCTTATTAAGCTAATATATATTTTAAATAAGTGTAAAGAGTTCTTTATTTCCGAACGCTAAAATATTAAATAGATCTTCTATAGTAATATTTCTTTTACTGTTAACCGTAAATATACTGGGATTAGTAGTCTTATTAATTAAGCTAGATCTAAGTATAGTAGTTTCTTTTACTTAAAAAATAATTAGTATTCTTTTAAATAAAAGTCGTTAATGTATAATGTCTTAATCCCTATTCTTAGTATAAGGTAAGGGTTCCTAAAGTAATAAGCCTAAGTTATAAGTTTATATTAGCAAAAAGGACAGAGAGTAGCTTTTAAGCAGTTATAATTATAAATATATAAAAGTAAAATAGAAGGCGTAATTTATATTTAGTTTTAATACTTTATTAATAACTGGCTATTTAAACTATCTAAATAAGAGTAATAAATGAAACTTATATATCTAGTCGTTCTTTTATTCTTACTTAAACTTGTATTATTGTATTTGTAAAAATGAGGCTATTCTTACGATCCTCGTGGTACGTACTGTCGTAAGACAGGAAGAGCTATACTTTTATTGGTTACGTTTACCTATAGTTTTCCCGCAGTATATACTTCTGTTAGTTCAGGTCGTAACAATAACTAAGACCTTTAATAAATATAATATACACCTAACCTCTCTTCTAATAGAAACCATAACCTGTCCAATAATGTGGTGCTTCTTGTGAGAGAAAGACGTTGGAGCCTGCGATACCACCAAGGTTTCCCATGCAAATGAGATGAGCCATGCCAACTGCTCTTTTGGATGACGGCGCGAGGTTGTTTGCTAGATGTTTACAAAAGTCCGTTAGGTATGACATGAAATAGCTCTCCCTTTTCTATAGCAGTTGAAAGATATATCTTACCGACAAAGCAAAGAGTAGGGACCAGCGACATGTATATTCCTGATGTCGCAAGAAATAGCATGCCATACGTTAGCCCTGGGAGCTGCGGATGGGGAATTGCTAACAAAGCGGAGAACCCAGCTATTCCGACTGACACTCCCAAAAGTATAAATGGAGTTCTCTGCTGGTAGTGATCCGAAATCATGGCATTTGCGATGGTGAATATCATGGCAACGACATAAATTGGAATAGTAAGCAGTTGCTATATCAGTAGTCAGCAGCTAAATCTATCAATGTGTCTGTATACCAGCAACTTACGGCATTTGCAGCTGTATATCCAAGCTCGAGAATTACCGTGGGGACTGTATAGGTGAAGCCGTAGGATGAGATGCTAGTAGCCCAGTACATGAACTTTGAGAATGTTAGGCTGGCGAAGGTGTGAATATAAAGATAAGTAATAGGACTCACCACCGCTGCCCATACTTTCCAGTCAGTGAGACCAGCTATGACTTGTCTCTTGTTCACCTTGTCATTGTTTGTGACCTTGCCTCGTCCAGAACCCGTATCCTGTTCCAGCCTCAGGATGATGAACTCCCGCTCTTTAGTAGTTAGGAAAGACGCCATGTTAGGACTATCAGGAAGCAGGAACCAGATGAAAAACGAAAGGAAAACGGTGAATATGCCTTCCAAGATGAAAATCCTGCATGTCGACTTTAGTAGTGTGGTAGTTAAGGCTGTTCTTCATTTAGCGTAGTAAACTGACCATCGCCAGCCTTGCAGTCCCGCGACTCCATCCATCATCTGGATAGCATAGGCTAGCAGACCTGAAAATGCTCCAGCAAGTGAGACTGCCGCGTAAAAGAATACCATTCGAGACTGGACTTCATAGCGGGTATACCAGACAGTAAGGAGATAGGTTGCTACCAAGATTTAGCGACGACGTATATGCGATGGTGGAGTTGTATGACTTACCTGCAGGGAAGAAGCCGGCCTAGATCAGGAATACATTAATAGATGTTACTGCAACTGGAGAGCATGGCAGTCAGAACTCACTTCTGCCACCCCAAGGAATATACGAATTGTTAAAAGTCCAGAAAAGTTCTGAACGATTCCTGTCAAAGTACTATTATGGTCATCGCACATTAGCTGCCATCAAAGAAAAAAAGGATTGGTAAAAGTATACATCACTAGTCCCCAAGAAAACATCATCAACGAGATCCAAATTGATGGCCTAGTAAGCTTGAGGATAATATTGCTCGGAACTTCCAACAACGAGTAGGGGATGAAAAACAACGTCACAGCTATGTTATACTGTATTCCTGAGAGATGGAGATCTTCTCCTAGCCCAGCAACTTTGGCATTGCCCACTTGTTTTTGTTAGCAAAGAGATGGAAAACGGAGATAGTATTATTAGGGTAGAGTCACAGTTTCCTCTGTCGATAAATGACACAAGATATAGAAAAGACAGCAGGGGAACAAGGCGCCAGTCAACTTTTCTCAGGATTTGTGTCTGCTCTTTAGGTGTGAATGGCGGTTGATAAGTCTCCACCTGTTCAATAGATGGACGCTCCTTCTCGAACAAGCCATTCTTTCCCAGTGTATCCCCTTCTGGCACAGAAGTTTTGGGTAGTTCTTTGCGTTTCGAAGCCATGATGCTCAGATGTATGGTATGTGGAATGAGGCCCTTGAAAACGTGGGTAGATAGATATCTAGCATAGGGTTAGAAATGTAGTTGAAAGTCAATTAAAGGAGAGTCCTGAGGAACGACTTTGTTTTATACCCAAATTAGTAGTATGCTTCTGACACTGCTTCCTTACTGTGGCAGCATGACTAGATTGACATCAATAACATAGTCAGTTTTCCAGTATATCCGTAAACCCCATGGGGAATCGTGCCATTCCCCAGATCTCAAGAGCGTCTATCTTCGTTCGGAGTATGCACCGCCATCAATAAGTGCAATTTAGAGTTGACTAGATAGTCCAAACCATAGCAATGATACAGGAGAGAAGATTGATAGAATTGAAGAAAGCACTAGATGTGGTTGGCTCGAAGCGGCATTGGCTCCGAGTTTGCAGAGTATTAAACAAAACAGTGTGATTTAAAAGTGGCGGACACGGTACCGAGCAATTTGCTGCCGGCTTCGGGAGTTGCGTCCGCCACCCGCCACCCGCCACCTTTCCAAGTGATTTGGATCCATGGAATATCTTTGACAAAGACGAAGAGTTTTCGGAAACGAATTAAGGCAAGCTTATGGCCTGAAACGAGATTGGAGCTTTGGTGCAAACGCGCCCAGTAGTTGCTAAACACCGCGGAGATGTTGTAACCAAAGATGAGAAGCCGAGTCCAGCAGCGGACAACGATGCGGCGCTACTTCTCGAACGCATATTTGAACATCAAAATACGACAAGTTTTTTCAATACGAACTCTGTGTTGTGTTACATCTCTAAACATTGAACCCGCGTTGCTTTGCATATACGTTTGATGTGAGTCGACATGTCGACTATTCGCTCCTCGTTCTGGCGCGGTGGCGTTTGCAATGCTCTCATTTTTCACAAATCCGATCTTCCCACAAACCGATCAGCATGGCAACCTCTGTTTGCAGCGGCCATGGGCTCTCCTGATCCGCACGGCAGGCAACTGAATGGCATGGGAGGCGGAGTTTCTTCTCTTTCTAAAGTATGCATTGTCTCACCATCTACGCGAGATGATGCCGATGTGGATTTTGAATTCGTTCAAGTTGTCATTGGTGATGGTTCACTTGATTTTGCCAGCAATTGCGGCAATATGACTGCTGCTATTGGGCCATTTGCTGTGGACGAAGGGCTTCTCAGGTTCTCAAGTGGCAAGTTGTTCTCTACGACGAACTACGCAAGCGTACGCATCTACAATACCAACACCAAAAAAATTATCATTGCCTCGTTTCCTGTACATGGAGATGCTCCAAAGTTCGCCCCCCACGGAACCTATCGAATGGACGGTGTTCCGGACACAGCTTCAAAAATCTCTCTGTCTTTCCAGTCGCCAGGTGGAACACTGACTGGGAAAGTGTTGCCCACGGGTCAAGGCGTGACATCCATGAATGTCATAGATAAGAACGGAAAGAAAATAACAGCCTCACTGATAGACGTGGCAAATCCGGGTGTATACGTTGACGGCAGCGGTCTTGGAATCAGACCGGATATTACGCCTGCTGAGTTGGATCATCAAAAGGATACGTTGGTTTTGTTGGAAGCTGTTCGACGGGAGGCTGCAGAACTAATGGGTATGGATCCAAACACAGCAAGTGTGCCAAAAGTTGCGGTATTGTTCCAGCCCACTGAAAAAGAGGTATCTGCGGGGGCCAATATTAAATGCTTAGTCCTGTCGATGGGACAAACTCACAAAGCAATCCCTCTCACTCTGGCTCTAAATCTGGGTGTTGCCTGCCGAATAGAAGAAACATTGGCTTTGGGGTTGGCGAAAAACATAAGTCGAGATGGGAGAGTGACGATACAGCATCCTAGTGGGATGATAGACGTTGGTGTTGATATATCAGGGGAAGACATCTTAAGTGCATCATTATACAGCACCGCAAGGTTATTGATGAGGGGCGAGGTGAATGTTAACTAGAAATATATATACATATTGAATGGCAAAGTAACATAGTTGTTTCTACAATAAACAATGATTTGTTTCACTAGCTCGATCAAAGACCAAGTTGATTATTAAGTTCACCTCTAGCTAGCCGTATCGTTATATGGCTTCTATTGACACATCTGATAAGCCGTGATGTCTAGTAGCTGCAGATAATAGTGCCAACATACCCATCGACGAAGATTTTGCATTAGAGAGAAGAAAATGCTGCAGATATGAGCTAGCAGGAGAGAAGAGAATATAATGCGTAGCCGTTAGAAGAGCACAAGCTCGTCAAATGGTCGAATAAGGTGAGTTGCGATAGACGGTCTGCCAGAAGCTGGGCTCCCGGGCGAACGAGAGGGGAGGCACGCAACAGGCTTAGGCAACGCACCTGTGCTGCTGTAAGTCTATGTGGGCCATAATTAGACGTTATTTGTTCTCGTTCAACCAAGTAGAATGGCCAGTCGTCATACCATCTAACGCCAGCTGCTTGTCACAGTGTGGTATGCACAGCTGGGAGAATTCAACGCGGCGTTGTTGCAAGACTCAGCGTTCATGTCACCTATCTGGATCTGCCCACTATTCAAGCGAGTACCTTTCAGCTGAGACAACTGGCAAGGTTGATTAAGCCTGACAAGCCTGAAACCAATGACTGAAGGGGCCGATCTAGGTCCGCTATGAGTCAACTGGTTTTGCCGAGGAACACTATAATCCGAGGCAGTTTCGTGAGGCTTTCGTTAAATCTAGTCGCTTGCTGATAGATTTCTCGCCTGTAACTACCAGGTATTCTGATTTGTACATGTCGTAGGATCACTAGGACTAAATAATCGCGTTCTAACAGGAATACGTCTTTTTGTAACGCTCTACGGGCGCTATCTGTTGTCTTGCTCCCTTGTTCAGACATGTGGGGTCGGGCCTAATCATGCTACATAAATAACTTCCCCTTTAGGAAATCTTCTCCAACTTAGTACGGAACTTGGGAAAATCTCTTCAAGCAAGGTAAATCTCCAAAGAAGTCCTGCATTTGGAAATAATACTGACCCAAGTGCCTAATTCGATAAAATTTACTTCCACTACTATAAAAATGTACCCTTTTTTTTTTTTTTTCAAAGCTGGTTCAGCTCAGATTGTGTATTATGAGGTCGCCATAATGTGGCACATCCTTATAGACCCACTGCTGTTCTGAAAAGTATATATCCTTGCTGCAGTCGCAAGGAGAGTTAATGTTTTCTCACGATATATGTTGCGGTATTCTATTAAATATAAAAACGATAATGAACGAGTTTGACTGTACTCTGTCCCCCAAGGCAGACGAGATTGTTTCGTCGCTTATCCGCAACGGCGGCTGCATCCTCCGGAAGTTTATCACAGACAGCCACATCCTCAGTGCAATCGAAAAGGACGTCCGTCCATATATTGAAGCAGACCAGCCCTGGAAAGGAGTTGATTTCTTTCCTCCACAAACTCGCCGTGTTCTGGGCTTGGTAGGCAAATCAACTGCCTTCACCCACGCCATCCCTGCCAACCATTTATACCGCAGTGTTTGCTCACGGCTCCTCTCTTCAACAAACCGGTCTTGGTATGGATATCAGCTAAACACTACAGTCTCGGAGCCTCAGTTAAGCAACACGGTCGTCTTCTCCATAGGTCCTGGCGCTAAGCGTCAGGAACTACACCGTGACGACTCGATTCATCATAACAGGCTGCCAGAGCTGCAGAGCTATCATGACTACCGCATTGGGAGAGATACCAGCGTAGGTCTCTTTGTGGCCGGTAAGAAGACAACTCAAGAAAACGGGGCCACGCGCTTTATTCCAGGGTCGCATCTTTGGGGCGAGGAGAGGTGTCCTGATGAAGCGCTCTCTTGCTACGCAGAGCTGGAACCGGGCGATGCGTTTATTATGCTCGCTTCGTGTTACCACGGTGGAAGTGCGAATACGACCACGGATGAAGAGAGGCTTGTGTACAGCTGTTTTATGACCAAGGGCTTCCTTCGACAGGTTTGTTCATCCCAGTTGCCAATTGTGTGCATTCAGCTAACTCCCTTTTTAAAGGAGGAAAACCAGTATCTTGCAAACCCCCCTGAGAAGATCAAAGAGTACTCGCAGGAGGTGCTAAGATTTATTGGATATTCAGTGAGCAAACCTTTTTTGGGTTGGGTTAATCTTGATGACCCCCTCAAGATTTTGTACGGGGATAATTTTAAGGGCGAGGAAATGCGGTGATGCGTATCTGTTATAGCCATCCTTCTCCCTAACTAGGTGACAGCCACCTCAAATAGAAGACAACTAAGTGTTTCACAATACTAAGGTCCAGTCAATCATCAAACAAGCCGTGCATATCATGAATGCACACGTCTGCATCACCTCTACTGGCTACATCCACGGAGTATCAAACTGCTAGCAGAGGTTTGCCCTCCCTTTCCCAAGCTTTAGCCTTCTCCCGCCAATTTTCCGGTCTGTCTATCCACAACTGCTTCATGAAGGAGACAACCACTTCGTAGTTCCTAAAGCCGGTTTTGTTGATAATATCACGATACCACTTCAATACCAAATTCTGCCTTTCCTCGCAGTAGTAACATTCAGTTCCGGCAATGAAGACTGGCCACGTTAAATGTTGAATCAACGCGTCATTAGATGCGCAACTTTGTAATCTCTCAAACAGTTGTTGCGTGGTATAGGATATCTCAGCATTCTCGGACGCGAAGTTGTAAACACACCGATATGCATATAGCTGTGCTGCAAGATGATAGACTTCAACAAGGTGAACAAAGGTCAGGCGAGTTGATTCATCGTAAAGAAGAGCTGATGTGGATGCGTTCATCAGGGTGAGACCACGGGCCTTCTCAAACTCCATCCGCAGAGCTGCTGGATGGGGGATACTCTGTGATGTCTTATTCGTCACATAGATTGTGAGTTTGTGAATAAGCCTCATGTACTCCGACAGCAGGGCTTCCGGGTCACCTTGCTTTGGCAGCACCACATCATCTGTGCCCATGTACACACATGTTGTTGTTGACGCTAGAACATCGTGAATCCCGAATTGGGCCCGAAGAAATCTGAACAGCTCGCTTGCCTCAGCGATAGAGTCCGAAAATCTGTTGACGAGAAGCCGTGCACCGAGCCGATGCGAACACCATGCTGCAGAAGTGACTCCAATGCACTCGTAGTTGGAGAGGATGAGCATCGAGGCGAGGATCCATTCCACCGTCTTTAGATCTAGAATATCTCGTGGCTTTTGATGATCAAAACACCCTGTGAGTCTGGATAATTCTTTCGTGATATGTGAAACGACGATATCGCAGGCCTTGGGAGCGAATGAAAGGAGCGATGGCTCGATAGCGGCCATGTGCTCAGCGGATACGGCCAGGATGGCAAGGAGGATGATGGGAGATGATTTTGCCCTGGGCACAACAAGTCGCCTGTAAGAGTTCGACGGCGAATCAACCCAAATCATGTTCCCAGCGATTTTTCTTGAGTAGTAAGAGACTAGGTGTTCAATTTGTCCGGCGTTTGGGGCTCCGGAGGCCATCTTGGCTATTGTTTCAGCAACTTTAGACCATGGTACTGACAATCCGTTCGCAAGTTCATTGGTCTGAGATGGATCCTTGGGATATTGCATCCCTTTGAAACGGCCTCGCACTGCTACGGCATTCGCCCATCGAAGATTTCGTCCGTATCCGGGGCATTCAATGTTTCGTTTCATACATTTGAGACAAAACGGCATTGTACGGTCACATCGAATTCGGCGTCGGGTACAGACTTTGCAATCCATTGTGCCGCGCTGCGCGGTTGACATGCTTGTAGATGTGCTGCTGCACATCGTTGAGTTACCCTCCGCGCAGGTGATTGGTGCACAATACAGTATGGTTGTGATACCGTTTTGTGAGTTTCTTTGGGGAGCCATCAGATGGGTGTATGCGGTGACGAGTGTGAAATAGAGTCATAGCGTGAACCAGCGATTGGCGGAGAATAGACCAATGTACAAAAGATGGGTCATAATCGGCGACCCATAGACGTACGGGGCCGTACAAAGTGTACGGGACCCTTAGTCAGCAAAAGCCCGCTATAACAACCGCTGTAATTTTCCTTCTAGCTGCCTATAGCTATCTTCTTTACAACCCCACTATCATGGATTCAACCTCTTTTCCTCCCGAGCAAATCTATCGATCTAGGGAAGACCTAGAGCTTAATTTAAATAATTACGCAGCAATTGGTGGTTATAAGTGGATTACTCGAAGGTCTCGCTATATTCAACACGCTGATCGATGGAAAATACTATATTCGTGTAACCAATTTCGTAAAGGTTGCCAATTTTCAATCAACGTTAGCAACCTTCCTGAAGGCTGGGTTATTCGGCATCGAACGGAAGCTCGATTTTACAGCCATAACCACCCAACTAAGCCCGGCCTACAGCCAAGCCAACCGCCGCAGCGCTCGCCAAGCCCCGTACAAAGCAAGTTACGGCAGCTACAAAAAGAAATAAAGGTACTAGAAGAGTTACAGCAGCTGCTAGAAGAGGAGGAGTTAGAAGGGGAGCTGGAAAGGCAGCTGGAAAGAGAGCTAGAAAGAGAACCGGAAAAGCCGGAAGAGCAGCTAAAAAAGCAGCTGCCCACCTGTAGCAAATGCCATTTAAAAGGCCATAGAAGAGGTGCAAAAAAGTGTACGTTACGAAATAGAAGCAGTAGCCCGATAGCTATAGGCAGCTAGAAAGAAAAATTACAGCGGTTGTTATAGCGGGCTTTTGCTGACTAAGGGTCCCGTACACTTTGTACGGCCCCGTACGTCTATGGGTCGCCGTCATAATCCTTTGAATTACATAATTTCGGTCTACGCGCCTCCAACACCATATACTTTTCGTTTATATATAAGGTGCAGATAAAATAAATCTTTATGTAACTGTAAAATAATGAAGTCAATTGCTCAAAGTTACTTTCTGTCTTTTTTGATAATATGAGCCCCTATCGGAGTTCATCAGTCTAGGAATCTCGTGACGGTCCGTTTTGCTGTTAGGTCAGCAGGGTAAAAGATTAGGCTAACAACAATCGCAATTGTACTGTATATAACGGAACCAGCTGCTTCTAAGGGATTAATCTGTCACGAAGAGCCAGATCATAATACCACCGCAACCTCAGAGATCCCAATTCCACCGCTAGACCTCCCCAATAGGCACTATAGGCATAAACCTTAGGTCTATTGTACACAGCTTTGAGGGCGGCGTTCGCGAGTCTACCGATAGAGGTAATATGCTGTAAGAAATTCTCCCTACTCAGATATATCACAACATAGCGCTTTATTGGTCGTTAGCACGGATATCAGCATACCTCATTCTCGGTGCTCACCATTCATAATTTCGTCGACGTATGCAATAGGTGATAGATCAGTAGATATCCAAGGGAATTGGTAATCTTCATCCAGAGCGCTATTCGCAGTATCAGTAACTTTGCCAGGGATTTTCCGAAGCCGTGTGGAACTTCTCACTTTTGACCGAGTGTAGCAGATATTTGGTCTCGAATTGGACAGAGACCTATGGATGACGTATTTTCTGGTATTTGGGCTCCATTCGGGTCAGGTTGTTTGGACTTGTCAGACGCCGTGTTAGGGGAGGTTCCCGTTGTTGACGTGGGATATTGCAAATGGTCTCCAGCAAATTCTTAAGCGTCCGGACGTGTCTAGTGGATAGCCAATGAGTCCTGTGGCAGTGTTGCTCGATATTCGCGTTTAAATCGGTATCGCGTTGGCTGGTTTCCAAGAGAACGTTCAGTACACCCTCCCGAAGGTCCCGAGCTCGGGAATCACCACGTGTCTCCTCCCAAATGCTGAGCAGCAACGTAGACGTAAGAGCAGAGTGAATCATAGACCAGTTCCGTAGAGGGACGATACTCAACGCCTGAAAGTCCAGGAATGCCTTCAAGATATTCTGAAGGCCCTTTTTCGCGCGAACAATGAGAAACTGGTGGGCCTCGCTATCGAATGTCGAGGTAGGCTTTTTAATAGCGGGTCGGCATAGGAAACAGATAGCAAACGAGGTGTTAATCTGTAATGCAAGGTGTTCAAGAAGCTCTTGTAAGTTGCCACACGAATCACGGTTTTTTAGATATGGTTGAGAGCGTGAACTGCAATCATCTATTTTTTGCACGAGACGTACAGAACGCTCCATATCCGGTGTGCTTTCGGTGACTTCGAAGCAGATAAATGCTACAGAGCGCATTACTTCGATGTAGGAGAGGGTAGAGCTGAAAGTGTTGCTACGCCATAAGGTTTGCACTTGAACGTTTGACACACTAGCCGGCCGACCATGGCAGACACTCAGGAAACAGTCCTGCCAAACAACAGTAGCCCTGAATTTGTCAAACGTGAACTATTAAAGGTTTGTTCCAATGCATTTGTGTGAGCATCTACGAGACTCGGGTGAACATACCATAAAGCCCTTCTGTTTGCGTTTTCTAGTCCTGACTAGCTACCGCCATTCTCAGTGTGTAACCCAAGCGCCTGCGCCAGTCTCACAGTTGTCCCTAAAAGAACCCAGGCACCGTCAGATTGGCCAATATTCTGAAGCGTATTTCCCAATATTAATAACGTCTGTACTGCGTCGAGAGACGGCCGCAACATATAGTTGGCCAATTGTAGAGCTTTAAATGCTCGCCTCACTTGCTAAAGTGTCAGTATTCCAAACTTGTGCATTGAAAGAAATCCCATACCCTATTAGACTTACCAAAATCTCGAGATATCTCGCATCGTTGGGTGACGTGTAGGGTTGAGAAATGGGAGCCACAGGAAAGGGTGGCCAAAAGGAGAGCAACGAACGTAACACCCTCATCACTGATCCATGGATACGAAGGATGTAATTTGTCCTGTAACTCTCCAGCCGCCCAACTTTCGAGGTATTTACACACACGGAGCTCAAACCGGCCGATATCGACGAGAAACGGCATAAACGGATATGCAGTATACCGGTAAGAAGGAAAGAACCTATAATAAGGCCCAGTAAGTCACACCGCTCATCTGGGGAGTATTACTAGGGAAGCATTATGAATAAACTATTATCCCTTTCATGTAATTTAACATGTAAAATACAAAAGAAGCAGAGACACGGGTGAACAGGCAGATTACCTATGAAACTCCTGGTTCTGTGGTAAGAAGCTCAGTAAGCTTTCCCATCGCTGCTGCAAAGTTGGCACAGTAAACAGAGGATCGCTGCTAAAGGAGTTTTGTAGGCCAAAAAACATGCGGGCATCGCGAATCCTTGAGGATGACGGCAGGTCGATAGCGTGCTGTCGTAGCACAGCAACGATAGAGTTGTCCCCTTCGTATGTATGATCTGCCGGCGTAATTACTTCGTTGCTAGGACGGATATCATCTGCAAAGTTGAATGGGTTCCCTGCGTTGGATTGGCCATCAATAGCATCATCGGATGGATGAAGCAGGTTTGAAGAAGACAAATGTCTCTCATCTGTGCCCGAGCCTACGGCCTCTTGAGGGCTATTTTGTCGAGAGATAGCAGAGCCAGTCACTGGTATAGCTTGCAGAGGATTATCAACATCAAGCCTAGGTTGTTTATCACGACGCTTGGTCGCTGCAGGTCGGCCGAAGGAGTAGGAACAGATTTCGGGGTGGCCCCGCCTCTCACATGTGCTACATGGTTGGCAATGATTACAGCGGACCTTACGCCGGTGGCAAGGATAGCATGCCTTCTCCTGTGGCTTGCGCTTCCGGTGCAAGATGCGTTCGATCTCTTCTCGGTCCATAAACGCTGTATACAAAAGAGCGTTGTGACTAGGGATTTTGTCCAGGCTACGTCATGGAATTTTGGGGGAATCTTGTTTTCCGAAGTAACTTACTAAATTGCACGCGAACGGGAAATGCTATCGGCGCTCGGCGCTCGGCATGCCTCGGCGAAAAGCACGAAACGACAGGGGAAAGAACGATAGCTAGGAAAAGACCAATATTTCTTCCTAATTGGGTTGAGAAAACAATGGGAGTGCTAAGAGTCTTCTATCAGAGATTTCCTTGTTTGGATAAACTACAATAATATGAAATCATTACGCATAACTATGAGATTAGGCATCAATACCTCACCAATGGAAATGGTTTTCATAGTACTTTGCGCTATAGCAAGCGGGGATATATGTATATATCCAATCCAGTTGGCTATCGTTGGCCAATTCGCCCTAATCCCTTGGTTGCTCCCTTTAGGTACTTACTCCATAGGCCGATATACCCTTGGGCGGGATCGATTTGTTCGAATGTTCACACAACACATGACAAAATAAACCTTCGCCCCAACCGAGAAAAAAATGGTAAGAAGGCTACTAGACAATTTAGAGGTGTTGTATATTCGTGGAAAGTTGTTGTTGGTAAAGAAACACTTGTTCCATTAGCCCTAGGGCGAGAGAGTTTTCGAACTTTTACCTCACATTTGCCATTGTATAACTGTGGTTGTAAAATACTCGGCATCCTGCCCAAAAAAATTGAAGATTAAAAGTAGTCGAGGTGTGCTGACTTGAAGTTAGTTGCCCGCTATGAACATAAGGGCCAGTTCACGCATGCGTCAAAGGATCAATGGCGGAAGCAGGGGTGCATATAATTAGCAGTAAATGAGAAAATGTCATGCCATGTAAACAAGCCTACACGGTTTCTTACATAGTGTTAGTGTAATCATACCGTGAACACAACAAATCATATCCCATTAATATGCCAATTGGATGCTTGCTCTGGAAGCGGAAACACGGGATCGGGGATATACGTCTGGTTAACAGCCTAAATGAGACGGATTGGGGACTTGGAGGTTTGAACAACCCATGAATGAAGAGCATTTTATTCTCTCAAACAGCACCATTATCTAGCATAGATAAAGCGCATAAAGCAGTCTTCTGGTGGGAATATAGAGAGGAGCTGCATCGCAGCGATGTTTCATGCAGGCCATCGGCGGTGAACCGAGCTAATTCTTCAACAATGCCCGGGTACTTTTGGGAGATGTAGTTGAGAGTGTTATAGCACAGAAGGCAGCTAATATAGAAGCCGTAGTAGACTTGAGGTTTGATTGGGAGCTCGGAGGTTGGCGTGACGCTTACTTCGGGACCCAATATGATCTCGGAGTCTGGGAGGAGTCTTCTTGCAAAATGATTGGCAGCCGTACAGATGGCGAAGGTGCATAGGATCCAGAAATTTCTCATGACTAGGAATATTACCAAGCTTTCGATCGAGCCGCCCGTCGGCGTTCGGGTCCCGGAGCGTCTCGGCAAAACGGACAACGGTTCATATAGAACGACGATTCGATCGTCGTAATCCAGATGCAACGATTTAAGGGGAAATGATAGACACACCAAACTATAACAATAACTTCAGTCGGTTCGAGTCCGTCCATCCGTTGGGAGCCCAGCTAGCCTAAAGCGCATAAACTTGTCAACAAATATATTTGCCCAGCAATCATCTCTTACCCTGCCGTCTACCATAACGACAGGTCCAACTCTATATCACTGACAATGCCTCACACGAGAGATAGAGACCCAGAGCCTCCCCACTTGAGCTTCCGCACCTTTGTGGACTCTCTCCGGGATGACAACGACCTGGTGGAAGTGAACGACCCAATCGACCCGAACCTTGAGGCTGCAGCTATTACTCGTTTCGTATGTGAGACTAATGACAAGGCACCGCTGTTCAATAACGTCCTTGGGGCCAAGAATGGCTTTTTCCGCATCCTTGGTGCTCCTGCTTCGCTACGTCAGTCCAAAGCGCAACGCTTGGGGCGCATCGCGCGGCATCTGGCCCTGCCCCCCGACTCCAGCGCTAGTGCCATCATGGAGAAGTTGCTCTCCGTCGAGTCGCAGGACCTGGTTAATCCTGTTACTGTAGAGTCGGGCCCTGTCAAAGAGAACAGCATCGAGGGTGACGATATCGACCTAACAGCCATTCCAGCACCCATGGTGCACGAGACCGACGGCGGCAAGTATATTGGCACGTACGGGGTGAATATTCTCGCATCGCCCGATGGTCAGTGGGTCAACTGGTCTATCAACCGAGCTATGATCGTGGGTAAGCGGACCATGACTGGTGCATGTTACCCGCCGCAGCACAACTGGCAGATCGTCAACAAGTGGCGGGAGATAGGCCAAGACGCGCCCTGGGCGTTCGCATTTGGTGTCCCCCCGGCAGCCGCTATGGCGGCAGCCATGCCCATTCCAGATGGTATCAGCGAAGCTGCCTATGTCGGCGCCTTGACTGGGGAACCTCTGAAGCTGGTCAAATGTGACACCAACAACCTCTATGTCCCGGCCAACGCCGAGATTGTCTTTGAGGGCACCATTTCGATAACCGAACAGGTCCCCGAGGGTCCATATAGCGAGATGCATGGAGTCAACTTTCCTGGAGACTCCCGCATGATGCCACTGTTTAAGGTCAACAAGATTACCTACCGCAACAACGCCATTCTTCCCCTGTCGGCCACAGGCAGACTAACAGACGAAACGGTGAGTGTAATCATAGTGAAAATCATAGATCGATGTCCTGTTGCTCTAGTAGCTTTAGCTGACCAATTTGCAACAGCAATCCTTAGGGGGTCTGCTCTCGGCTGCGGAAGTCCTGAAGCTCTGCCGGGTTTCTGGGTTGCCGATTTTGCAAGCTAGCTCGCCGCTCGTCTCTCAGTGCACTTGGGTTGCGGTTCAGGTTGATGGAGCCCGACTTCGGGCTATGAAGATCACTCCGAAGGAGTTGGCCGAGCTCGTCGCCAATATAGTGTTTAAGTCCAAGGCTGGAGTGCCATTCCACCGTCTTCTTCTAGTCGGCGAGGACATTGACATCCATGACGATGCAGACATCATGTGGGCATTCTCCACACGGTGCCGACCCGGACTGGACGAGTATCTCTACGAAGATGTCAAAGGCTTTGCACTCATCCCTTACATGGCCCATGGAAACGGCAACCCTACTAAAGGCGGCAAGATAGTCTGTGATGCGCTATTTCCTGTCGAATACACCACGGGTAGAAACTGGATCAACACCAGTTTTCGACAAGGTTATCCAAAACCTCTGCAAGACAAGGTTTTAGCCTGTTGGGAGAAGAGGGGATTCAGCAAGCTGGACTAGCTTCAGACGTACCTTCAGAAATTTGGCCCTGTCAATAGGTAACACCCCAGCTCCAAACTCCAATTCGTCCTACATTGTCGGCTTCAGTGAACATGGGAGTTCCCCTTTGCAACCACCAAGCCACGGTTCACCGGGTAGATTGGGTATCTCCGGGGATCAGTGATAGTGCTCAGCCTCAGTGCTCGTTGCTGGCGTTAGTTATATTATTCGAGATATATTTTTTCAGAATATCCGAGAGAATATATTGTAGTTACTATAACCTTATCCCTCTGGCCAAATTGCAGGTCCGAGTTGAGTGGCATTAGGATTAATATATACATCTCCCATTACGACTTCCTCACATAAAAACTTCTGCTATCCAAGGATAACTTTCATGTAAAAGCCAGTCATTCTTAATGCCTATCAATATGCTGTGCTATGATTTGCAGTAATTTGTCTCTTTGACGAAGGAGCCGCGAAACGAATGATACTGGTCCTTGAAAAGGATGGGTACCTACCAGGACCTCTACAACTATAAGTCGCTTCGTCCACATCCGATTCGCCGACTTCAAGGGCCACTACAGTGATTAAAACCATGGCAATTATTGAATGGTTGACTTAGTTAGGCGTTACCTAGAGTAAAACTAACCCCATATTTAAGTTCTCCAAAGCCAGGATTCGAGGAGCTTGCCTGTGCATATTTAAACGTAGAGTATGCTCATTCCTGTTGGCTGGCCGGAAATTAAGGGAACTTCTATGTATGCGTTCCGGAATGAATGCGCCACCACTTGACCTGCATACTTGCAAAATGCAATAACTGGTTAATCTATTAATATTCTAGCTATAGCTAATTCCAGATCCCGTACATAATTGTTTCACATGGTGGTGTGCCACGTCAATTTTTAACCTCAGTAACGCCGATGACAATGGCAATGAAAGATACCCGTATAGATAGCACCAATTGCGTTTGCACGAGACTTTAACGCTTCGCATGCTGCCAGCCCTCCCACCTCGCAAAGTCCCCAGTGTCGAAATCGAAAAGGCCTAGTATGCGCCCTACGCTCTGGTCGACTAGTTCATCCACTGACGCTGCCCGGATATAGTAGGCCGGAACAGGAGGGAAGATGATGGCGCCCGCGCGAGACACTTCTAACATGTTACGCAGATGAATATCACTCAGCTGGGTTTCCCGTGCAACCAAGACTAGGCGCCGTCGCTCTTTAAGCATAACATCCGCTGTGCGAGCGATCAGATCTCCGCCGAAGCCGCTGTGGATGGCTGCGAGGGTCTTCATGCTGCATGGAACGATGATCATTCCATAAACTTTGAAGGAGCCGCTTGAGATTGGAGCTCCCATGTCGTTTATCGAGTGGACATGGTCAGCAAGTGCTCTGACATTCGATAGATGATAGTCAGTCTCGTACTTGATCGTCGCCTCGGCCCATTTGCTCATAACCAGGTGCGTCTCGACATTCAACTTGCGCAAGGCAATCAATGATCTAATTCCCAAGATGGCGCCAGTTGCTCCAGTTATAGCAACATTGATCCGCTTGCGGCGCTGGGACAAGGGCCGTTGCGCAGGTCCAAATTGTTCGTTCATCTCCGATGGCATAGTTGTTATAGTTGACCTTCTACTGCAACCAGAGGTTGGAATGTGGATACCAGAGAGCAGAGAAAACTTAGGGATCGGAAGAGACGAATGCTGGTTTTGAGGTTTGAGTATTGTTTCTCCCGAGGGTAAGTTTTTGATGCGTTGGTGGCGTTGGCTATTAAGGTGTATTTTATAGCTAGAGGGGGGAATTAACTCCTAGCTCTTTTAATATCTTAAACCACAGCAATGATTGCAGTCGGAAGATCTAGCAGTAAAATTAATTTCATTTATGTGTAAACTACAGATTACGGCGGGTTAAGCCCCGGACTGGGAAACTATCTAGATTATGTACTTATACTGGGTTGAGCCCCGAACGCCGAGGTCCAAGAAGTATCCAGCGACCAAGCGGCCGAGTGGCCGAGTTGTGTATGCTCCACGTAACTACCCCTACCTACATAGCTATAGTTTACCATAATAAAACAAGGAGAACCTATGCGAAAATCAGCCTTTGGTTATTTTTCTTGGCTGTTTAATTTTCCTCTTATAATTGCAATAATGGGCTTACTGTAACCATCCATTATATCGTTCAGCCAGACAGGGCAAAAGTGAGGCCAATAATCTCAATTGCAGCCATCCCCTTAAGGGATCAATCGCAATTTGAATCAACGGGATCGTACCATATAGAAGCCTACCCTGTAATATGCATTAGGGACTGAGACATTACAACAATACAACATTACCAGAGTTTATACTTGTATTGATTTTGGAAAATAAACGCAACATAACACAAACGAATACATAACTAATTAGTATACAATCGAATTGCACAACACATTAACTGGAAGTGGAGCAAATAGTAGGGAACGAAACGTAGTTTTTATTGGCTTTTTACATTTTGTGGGTAGAATTGTCCAATCAACCAGACCTCTTTATCTGAAAATGATTTCTCACATGCATCAAGGATATTTACCATAGATATCGCCAACCGAATTCCCATGGTCATCCCAATACGCCTGATTACAGAGGTGACCCATCGACGTCGCGGCCCCTGAGTGGTTCTCAGCATCCCCGAAAAGAACAAAGGCCAAAGTAGCATGTAACCACCTGGCGTAGAGGAAATACCTGTATCGATTGGTCCGCAGAGACGTGTTCCACGTCGTCGAAAGCCAAGAAAATATGCAGAACTATTGCAGATTTCTTCAGACATCTTTTCTAGAACCGACATTGAGTACCCCAACCCGCCCTTCTCCTTGTCTGAGCCGTGTTGGAGAGTGGCTACAATGATGGTCTCATGAAGCATTAGTCGAACTGACCTGTAGCTATTCCATGTGGACGCTATCCAAAGGTCAGGGTACATGTCATATACACCATTAAAGTCGTTATTAACATTGTGTACAGATCGATAAGACTTATATTCCCATGTTGGGGGCAAATTTCTGCGCCAGCTCTCGAATTCTTCGTCGAACTGGAGGAGTCTGGATGAAATTGTAGAGGGGGCCGTGATGTGATCATGTTTTATCGCTGCTCTGTAGCTGGCAAGACGCTCATTGATCTCTGAAAACCGATTGGAATAGAACTCGTCTTCTGATTGAATGGTTTCAGCCCAAGAAGACCAACGTTGCAGCGCGTAGGGAATGGGCTCTTGCATCTGGTGACATGTTTGTACCTACAGGATAAGTTAGTACGCGTAAGTACCAGGTGGTAGTTGAACAAGTACATATTGCTATCACGTACAATGATTCGCCGCATTTGCATAAACAACCTTGTAGCGGTCTTGCTTTTGAACTGGGATCTGCCTCGCATCTCGATACACAACGCAGCCGCCAGGCTGTGCTGTCCAAATGACTTCATGGATTGAGAGTCGCCAGAGGCAATTACCTACGCATAGGAAAGTCAACGCTGAAAAATTGGATTAGAAGCCTACAGCTGTAGGGCGGGGCCGATCGGAGGGTTTGAATAGATGGGAACCTACCTCGAATGTTCCCATTAGCATTACTGCAGCTAGAGTGTAGTCCATCCTCTTTCGTACTGGGTCGCTCAAGTCATCACGCAATTGGCGAATGGCTCTTGTGTAGAGTCTGTATGCATCCAATCGCCAAGTTTCTGAGTTACCCGCATTCACCAAGGCGGCCAAACCAGCGGCCGCCACTATAGACTTGAGCGCAAGGGTTACATCCGGAGCTGCAAGGAGAGCGGGTATATATTCATGACTGCCTCGGAATAGATTTTGTGAACTAAGACCCTCATCCAGTCCCTGGTACACATAGTGGTGAAGGAAGAAAGAAGTTGCCACATCCTCTAATGGGCATGATAGGGCCTGACCAGGCTTCGAGAATGCCGCTAGTACAGTATCTGGTGTGAAGGATATATTGTTTACGGGGCTTGAGAGTCGAGAACGTCGGATGGAAAGTGGTGTTTGATTACGAAAATTGATTTCTGTTTCGCATGGAATGCCGGGACAGGTCCAGCCTGATTTGAGGCATGCGGTGCAGTTGGGCTCTGTTTGGTCACACTATGAACGTTAGGACTCTCACCAATAAATGCAACAACAGTAGTCTTGCACCTCCCTACCTTAATCTTTCTCTTCTTGCAAGTTGCACAGCCTCTGCTAGGTTTCCCAGTGTTGACCATTTTGACTATTCCAACTCTTTATTGCGTGGGAAAGTACGCGCATCGCGTTCTGTAAGGAAGTTAAAAGCAGCTACTTATGTTCGTCTTTAGAGAGCGCATGGCCATCGCAGGGGCCTCTCTCGATACACAATCTCTCCTGGGATGGTTAGATTTAACAAAAGTCAGCAAGGAGGCCTCGAGTAGAATGTTCCTTGAGCATGAGGCCGGCCCACGGCCGCGGTGTTTCGTAGCGGCTTATGCTCCGAGCCACGTCATATTACTGAAATCTCAAATTGTAGCATGATGCGATGCAGCCAATTGGATAACCCCCCATATACTCCACCAACCTACTGCCGAACAAAGCTGAGGCAGACTGACATGTTGGCGGATAATGCTTGTCCGCTCTTGCTGATTTAGTGCTAGCTTGAGCTGTCATTACCCACAACAATGTAATGAGATAATTCAAGCCGAATGAATGATTGGACGAACACCGAACGTTATATCCCTTGTCCAAAGTAAGGGAAAGTTGTAGTATTAAAAATATCGGCGGTAGATTGTTGGAAGTCTAGTGGTATATCTATGTCTAAAGGCGAAGATTAAAATAAAACCCCATAGGATATCTATAAAGCGCTAATAAAATAAAGCTTTCTGCCACCATCTACATCGCTCATTGTTATTAGGATCTGTGATTTGCTGGATTCCAGTAACATTGAGGTCCAGTATCTGATTCCGCTCGCCGTATATGGGCATTTTGACCAATGCATTCCGGTTGGGATCTCCAGTGATAGCGAATGACAGGATATATGACTGCATTGCATTGGCAATTGTCTCATTAGATACAAACTGGTCATTGGGTCCGTTGAAGAATGTGTAAGGAACATCCTGGCCATGATACGCGGGAGGAATGCTGAATCTGTATCCGTACGTGGCAAAGTGTTCTCGAACCGCCGTCTGGAGATACCTGGTATTACAAGTGAATGCTGCCTCGGCTAGCGAAAGCTGAGCACGAGTAAAGAAATCGTCATACGGAAGGGTACCGTTGAATAGTGGAGGATACAACGTATCCGAGATATAGTTTATAACGGATCGAGGAGCCGTTGGGAACGTTGTTTCTAGTGACTGGAGGTAGACTGAGTTGTTGACGTTGGCTTGCGACACGAATTCTAGAGTTTCATGAGCATTAAATCCCGTCATTATTTGAACAGATTTATCATATGCTCCTTGAGATAGCAAGGCACCTGGAAGAGATGGCACAAATGAACCGTCCGGAACCGGTGCCCAAGTGAAAGTACCTTGGTCAGACTGGGCCACAATATCAAGATTAGCCTGTTGCAGAACTTCAAAAGGAACACGTCGAGCCTCAGCTACCGAAGAGACGTTCAACCTTGCAAGGTAGTTTTGAAGCAACTCATTTTGCTGATAGCGACTCGGAATCAATGGAAACCCTGGTGATTGCAGAATGGCCCGGCGGAAAAGAGAGGGCTTGAGACCACCATACGCGGTAAGCTGGTGCATAATAGAACCACCGCCAGCAGACTGGCCGAACACAGTGACTTGTTTAGAATCGCCACCGAATAAATGGATGTTGTTTTGAACCCATTCCAGCAGGAGTCGTTGGTCGCGAAGGCCAGCATTTGCAGCTCCGTTCTCTTCCACAGCACCTGGCAAAAAACCAAAGGCACCACCCTAAAAGTTGTTAAGTTAGTCTGAAGTTATTGCATGAGGGTTGAAGGCATTTGCCAACACGTACCCGGTAGTTGAACTGGATGTAGATGACCCCTTGTCCGGTTGAGTCAACCGACCTGCTCCTCTGGATGAGCCCGGCGGCATTGCCATCACCGCCCTTTTTTCCAAAAGCAAAACCGCCACCATATATCCACACGATCACTGGAGCCTTTCGTGTATTCTTATTGCGAAACACTGATTTGGGAACCATGACATCAAGGAATAGACAGTCCTCCTGTTCACTCGGTTCTGCCGGTGGGAGGATACTCGAGTTGCATTGCGAAGGGTCGTTGATTTGATGGGATAGCATCTCTAACCCACAACGATACCAGATGGCATAAGCTTGAGGGCAAGAAATCGCACGGTCTCCTCGTTGCACCGCAGTACGGTTTTTTAATGGTGGCTGAGGCGGAGCAAAACGAAGCTCCCCAGTTGGAGCCCGGGCATAACGAATATTAGAAAAGTTGTAGTACTGTCCCGTTTCCTGCAGCTACTTGTTAGATCTGGCTTTCATATTCTTTTCACATGATAATAGAGTTTGCTTTCTCACATTAAATGCAGTGGCTTGATAGATCTCGTAACCCAAATCAACTATTGGGAGGCTGTCACAAGATGTCCCTGCCGATGCGGTAGCAAAAAGCAAACCGCAAAGGATGCCGAGAGAATACATAATGTACCAAAGCAAAAGATTTTACTCGTATAGGTTGATTAAAGCTGAAAGTGAAGACATTCAAAGGCTCTGAACATCGTGGAAATTGAGCTGTATTAATAGCTTACAGGAGCGTCTGGTACCTTCCGGGCAACATGCCTCTAACTGGTCAGTTCGTATCATCACCCTGTTTGGACCTTGAGTGTGGGGGAAAACGATTACACCTCACATATTGTGAATGTGGGATCTGCGACGGCACGTCAGCCCATTCTTCAATTTCTCCCTAATATGAATGCGTCTTAAGTGCCTTAAGTTCTTAACATGCCTTTGCCTCGTCTCGCCCGTTCTATGCACAAATTGCCTGGCGGAAATAGCTATGATTGGTTGGCTCGCAAAAGCTACCGAATAGGAAGTAGGAAGAGGACTAAGCAGAGACAACAAACCGTTTCATGTAATATTAAGCCTAGTCAAGCTACTAGTAAAACCGATCATCTTGGACGAAATTAGCTGTCATCTTTCTTGCAAACAAGCGGGCGCGCAGCCACGATAGTCGATATTCAATCGCAGACATATGGTTGTTAATTTTGGCAGGCCATTGAACATGTCAAGATCGCTTATGTAATTCCAGATCCCATATTTGGTCACAATATCCATGAACCAGTATAAAATATGTAATACACCAACTACTAGGTATGTAGGTATATCGCAAAGTGCGGGAATAGGGGCAGCAGAACTACGCAGTTTCGTTGATCAAACTGTAACGATTAGTTTATACACAGTGAGTGAATAAGATACATGTAATCAAACGGTGTATGTTGCTTGAGTAGGTACCCAACTTACCTGGCTGTGACTGTAAGCCCAGATCGCTGGGAGTTATCTCAATCGTTGTAAAATTGAATGCTTAGGTTGATCACTACAAATCTGAACTATCTGTTGTCTATACAATGGTTCATCTCTTCATTGATCTATCTCGTGATGACACCCTCTCGCCGTCTCCTTGGGTCCAATTGATCGAGGCTTGATCCTTACCATCGACCTCCTGTCACGTAACCAGGCCCGCTTTTGCGCCCCAAAGGACTGCTTGTACTTGGCACAGTACCTACATGTAGCTTACTGTGCTCTGGCGTTTAGGGCGCTGGGCGCGCTTCAGCCTTGATCATGAGACTGGATATTAGGTCTGTTAAGCTGAGCATATTAGGCCTCAGCGCCCCACTTCACTTCAGGCTTTTCTCATCCGTTGGGAACTGGAAGCTGTGTAGACACACGGGAGTAGAAATCAGGCGACCAGGTTGCGGCTCACTGCCACATCAAGGAGTGAAGAGAGTACATATACAAACTTTAGCCTCTTTGCAGCTGGCCAGCAAGGGAGCTAACCAGCATGGACCGAGGCGTCAGCGACCATGCATCCGACCAATTCCTCCAGGGACCGCCAATCTTGCCACGACCTGCAGAAGCTCGAGACGCCCATGGTAACTCTAGCGTTTCACCCTCTCGACATCCGCCTCGGATTCATCATCGTAGCTGTACTGAATGCAGCCGACGCAAGGTGCGATGCAACCACCACCATCCGTGCTCCAACTGCGTCAAGGCTGGGAGCGAATGCATCTTTCCCACGTCCAGGCGCACCCCAGTGAGGCGTGAAAAAGCCACCAGACGACGAGATGAGGAGCTGTTAAAATCGCTGCGGAGACTCCAGCGCCGACTGCAATCCACCGAGGTTACACAGCTGGTGGCTCGGGGCGAAGCTGACGACCATTGCAACGAGGGTAACAGCCCTGAGGAAAGAATACGTCAAGATGAAGGGACGAGAAGCAAGCAAATCAGCCCTTTCGGCCCTTCTCCCCCGACAACCCGTGTTGACAATGTGCCGGGCAATACTGAGGAGCCCGCTCGGTTAATGCTTGATCACGATCGTAGCCGGTACATCAGCAATCATTTCTGGGCAAGCATGTCCAGAGAGGTAAGCTTCGACATCCCGCCCATCGCCGAACTGCGGACTCACTGAATGGCCGCTTCAGATTGACGAAATGCGAGACATCTTGGACGGCTCCTCGTCAGAGCAAGAAGACGACGGCCAAGACCATCAGGACCAAGGCAGTGCGGCTACGCCAAGCTCTCGTCTCTCACATAATAGCCGTGACTTTCCCATCTTCAGCCCGTCTGCCACTTCGCAGTCACTACAGTCTCTCTACCCGAGCTCTTTAGATTTCTTGACCATTTTTGACGTGTTTCAAGAGAATGTCGACCCCGTTGTTCACATCTTCCACCGCCCGACGATGCGGAAAACTGTCACCGAGGTACTGCCTCTCCTAGACGGATCGTCGCTGGACCGCGTGGCGGGGGTGGTCGTGTTTTCCGTCTGTTGTGCCGCGTTGACTAGTCTGAGCGATGCGGGCTGCCGTGGGCTCTTGCGGGGAGAGCGGCGCGTGTTGCTCTCGCGATATCGGTATGCGACGGAGCAGTCGCTGTCCAGAGCCCGCTTCTTGGAGTCGCAAAACCTAGGGGTCCTCGCAGCCTTGATATTGTTCTTGCTCTGCCTTCGTCGACACGACGACTCCCGCCTCGTCTCCAGCCTGCTCGGCGTGGTAATTCGCAACGCGCAAGCTGTGGGATTACATCGGGACGGCACAAAGTTTCAGCTCTCGCCGTACGAGACAGAGTGGAGGCGTCGTCTGTGGTGGCACATTTGCGTGCTCGATATCCGTGCTGCAGAAGATCACGGGTGCGACCCGTCAATTTACGACCAAAATTACGACACCAGATTCCCGCTTAACATCAACGACGACGACCTTTCTCCTGAAGCCACCGTTGCGCCACCAGAACGTCAGGGAATCACCGATATTACCTTCTGCCTCCTGCGCTTCGAGGTTGCGGTCGCCATCCGCAAGCTCAACTACCATGGCCCTGTCGGGAGCCCGGAGCCGGTGCTGTCCACGGCTGAGAAACGTGGCTTGGTCGAGACGATAGAGAAACGCTTTTACGAACGCTACATTAACCGCTGCGACATTACCAAACCCTTTGACTGGGTCTCAGCTGCGTGGGCACGGCTGATGCTGTCCAAAATGTGGCTTGCTGTGAGCAATCCGCTACATCCTCAAGACGCTATCGACAGTGCTGCTGCTCTCAATATCCGACACGTTGCCTTTAAAAGGTCTGTCGAAATGCTGGAGCTAGCAGACTCGTTAGAAACAGGGCATAGGGCCGCACGGTGGCGGTGGTTGTTCATGACGCATGTCCAGTGGCACGCCGTTGTCTTTGTGCTGGCCTATCTCTGCGTCCATCCCACCGACGAGCTGTCCCATCGTGCGTGGCTGGTGATGGATAGAGTCCGTGAGCGGTGGCCCCAAGGTAGTCGCTCTAGGAAAGGGATGCTCTGGAAGCCCGTTCATCGACTCATGGACCGCGCACAACAAATTCGGGCTCGTCAAGGACATAATCCCCCAAACGAGCCTGGTATCTCTGAAGCGAGTCATCATCGGCCTTACCATAACCCTCTACCAGGCGTCGCTTCGCAAATTGGAGTCCCGGTGACGGCGCTCACAATATCCGAATCGACTGCTCAATCTACAGCTCTTTTCGAAGAGATCTCTGCCTCGCATGTCAGTGCACTTGCGGCTACTTCAATCTCTCCGATATGTCAAGACGCCGATGAAGCCGAGCATCACCTCACTACAAGTATCGAACTAGCAGACAGTAGACCCAACCCCAACTTTGGGGTTTCTGTACAGCCCCCCGACGTGAGTAGCCTCCAGGATCTGCAGGACCCCCAATCAGACTGGACCAACATCCTACATGAGCTGCAACAGGGCTTTCAGGGAGACCCGTACGTCAACATAGCAGATCAGGCGGAGACGATGCAGGAGTACAACAATAACCTCTGGGCTATGCTCTAGATGTAGACTAGGCGGGACAAATCACATATATCATCATGATGTGCCATGGTGCAGGTGAATGACTGTCAAGAGTCCAATACAGATCAGCTGAACTTGTCTCAAACTCATTTACTATTTTCTTCTCACTTGTCTACTGGAGAAACAGTGATGCTATCGGCCGATAGTGAGCCGTCCGTCACCACGAAACCCACAGCACCTCCTATATAGTCCTCGTCCACTGCCGCTAATCCTGCCTGGTCGACTTGACCTTCGATCTTGTTGCCCTGCACGCGGAGGTGCAGTCGGTACTTGTGATTTTCCTCCCATGCAAAAGGCATGCTCATCAACTCTATTCTCTTATCGTCCGCTGCCTTGACCAACGCCACCCGCTTGTCTTTGGTTAGCATGAGCGCGTAATAACGGTTAAGCCCCTGGACCCGAGCGGCAACGCCCATCGACCCGCCAAAATTGACCACAAAATTCGAAACCACCACATCATAGTCACTCCAGTCCCTGGCTCCCTGGCTCAAGAGGCCCTCCCCTCGGTCTTGAGCGATGAGGAATGACGGCCCCATATCTGTGTGCACCTTGTCCACGGAACTGACCCAGGCACGGCTCCAGAAACTCTGGTATCTACTCTTGTTCGCGGGTCGTTTCAGTGTCATTCGAGGCACGCCGTCCCATCGCATGCTTTGAAGAAATATGGCGCCATCAAGTTTCGGAGAGCCTTTGGCGGTGGCGATCGCGATGCCGATCTGCTGGATAGGACAGTTCTGAAGGTTGTCAGGGATAGTCCACTCAAGGTTATTGTGCTGCCCGGACTTTATATTTATAGGGCTACTATCCACGGTTGTCAAAACGTCATTTTCATCGTATGCTTTGATTCTCAGACACACAGTCGAAGCTGCAGTGTTAATGTCGGCTGCGTGTAGCTCTGCTTTGACCCGTTGGCCGGGGTACACTAGAGGCGAGGCCATGATCTCGTAGTTTCGGTCAACCTGGAGAATATCCAGTGGCGTGAAGGTCGCCGTCATTACTTCCACAGGATCGCATGCATCTGTCAAGTTCTTGATGCGAATACAAAGGCTATCTACGCCCCTGTCTTGGCCTTGGCTTATGCGGACCACACTTGAAGGAGACTGGGGATACGCCGTCGCCTGGAAACCCTGAACGCTACCAGGAAGAGAGAAATGAAACTGAGCGCCATCCTTTGGAGGCTGAAGTACGGGGTTGCCGGATAATCGATGACCGAGATTGGCTATATCGTAGGCTATGCGCGCTGCGTTGTTTATCGAATATCCACCGTCGGCACTGGAGATGATGGCGCGATCGGCCAAAGGGCCCAGCCAGTCAGGACCGCCTTGAAATGCGGCCAGGCCGTGCATCAGGGCAACCAAGCACGCAACGTTTCCGGCATTGCAATCGGTATCCCAACCACAAGTATTAATGACATACATGGCCTCGTGGAAGTCGTGGCCTGCGTATAATAAAGTCATGATCATGATGGCATGGTTAGGGACAACATGGCATATGCCCAGGTACTTATCATAGCCATAATTGTCTTCGATCCGCTGACGCGTTTGCCTCCAGTCGCTGTCCTCTTGCACCCAGCGTCTGACGTCGGCAATCATACATGCAATGATAGAGTTGGTTGGAATAAACGACAGACCGGTATCAAGGAGGTGGTTGACGTCGCTGGATAAGAATGCTTCGGCCTCCATAACCGCCCATAACTTAGCCGCATATACTGCTTCACCATCATGGCTTACCCGTGCAGCTGCCTCAGCAAGCCGCACTGCCAGAGCTGGATTTCCCGGAGCTACCATAGCCCAGCCGTCGATAAAGATTTGGGCGCCAATCTGTTCTGCCAGAGTGCGACCATTCGTCTCAAACGCGCCGCTTGCAGGGGCGGCTAAACCTCTCTTAAGATTGAGGAATGCTGTATGCTCGGTCGAGATGCCATTGCCTCCCCACCAGAAGATAGAGCGGCGCTCCACGACGTTATTCAGCCAAGTCTTACCGACATCTTCGGACGAGAGGTCTGCAGACGCGCCGTGTTCTTCCAGCGCACGGACAAAAGCAAAGGTGCCAGACACATCGTCGTCGATCACAACAAGTGGTAGATCTAGCTTGTCATGTACATAGTAGCGAATATCTCCTAGCTTATCCTGGATCTCTTGATACGTCCAATTTTCGAACGGCCGCCCGAGGTACACGCCCACCAGCTTCCCGAGAACGCCAGCGTAGACTCGGTGCAGATAGTCATCCGGTAAAGACGACATGGCTTTTTCTGATTCGTGTATATGTTTGACAAATGAGGAATCAAAGAAAGTGAGGCTACCGAGTTGTAAGATGCGGCTATAGTGTAGGAGCTTCAATGAGGAGGCGCCAGCTGCGGCTCTGTAGTAGCCGTAATTATATTAACACATGCAAAAAATACTTGCGCATGTGTGCACGTGTATCAAAATCTCGTTATATTCTTGTCCTCGCTACATTTCCCCCCCATGTGTGACCACAATCCGGAACCCGTGTCTGAAGCACCGAGCCCGAGCCTCCGTTCTCCACCTTGCTCTCGGACACCGTTATCACGCATTCGAAGTCGCAGTCAGCTTTCATCACGCTGTCCAATGACGGGCCCAGATGTCTCGGGAAACTCGGGGTTCAGCATTCTCTCCGAGGCCAAGATGCTCCACTGAGCCATCTAATACAATGCAGGGCTCGCGCCGTAACGTACAACGCCTCAATGCGGGGGGGGGGCTGGCCAAGCTTTTCCATTTCCATCACTCTAAAGGTTAACTGGCACGTGGAATTGATTCCATTTACCCCATGGGGGGGAGGAGGGCCCACACACACCCTCCATCTTTTCGGGATTTGGCTTCACTTGGCCTTTGCATGATAGAGCAGGACCAGCGGATGGGTTGAGATAGCACTTCTCCCGTTTTGCTCGAGCCAGGCAATGCAGAAGAACTAAATACAGGAGATATCTCTGTCTGAGCCATCTCTTGGCTTCGACCGTCACTCATCGCCAGGTATACCAAAGGCTCCAATACGACGAAGAACAGACCATGGCTCATCGAAAGATTTCACGCTTCGTTCCAAGTGACCAAAAGTGGCTCATAGCATGCCTCATTGCGGTATCATCAGTGGACTCTGTGGTATGCCCTTTACCTTGCCAAACGCGGCAGTCACCAGACGCTGCTAACCATCGAAAAAATTTAGCTCGTCGGCTACGACAGCTCGCTCATGGGCAGTCTCAACGTGATGCCCTCATACAGCAGCTACTTTACTCTCACCACCACGACGAAATCGCTCAATACAGCCATCTCTTATGTCGGCGGTGCTGCCATCTCACCTCTAGCAGGGTTCCTGGCTGACTGGCGAGGCCGACGCGAGTGCGTATTCTGGTCCGCGCTGGTGACTCTCATCGGCGGCATCATCCAAGGCACCGCGCAGAATATCGGCATGTTCATTGCCGGGCGGTGCATCGTTGGTGCGGGTATGGGGCTGGCCCAGACAACGGCGCCGACGCTGGTTGCCGAGACTACCCCCGTCAAGTATCGAGGCTTCGCTCTCGGCATGTACTACTCGTGCTGGGGCATAGGAACACTTATCGCAGCGGGCATCTGCTTTGGGGTAAGTCCAATATGCGGTCCAGAGGGCATATTTCAAAACAAAGAGTGCTAATGAACTGACTTGTATCCGCTGCAGACACAGAAACTCGATTCAACGTATGCCTGGCGCATTCCAAGTCTTCTGCAGGCGGCCCCGAGCTTCGTCTGCTTTCTTATTTTGTTATTTGTCCCTGAGTCACCTCGTTGGCTCATCAGCCATGACCGACACGAAGAAGCATTGGAGATTCTCAACATCGTCAATGGCGGCGATGCTGACGATGTGCAAGTCCAGTATCGTGAGATTGCGGACACAATCAACTTTGAAAAAGAGCACAGCCTGGGCCTAGTGCAGGCAATTTGCAAGAAGTCTAGCCGAAAGCGCTTGTTGATTACGACCACGTTTTCGGCTATTGTCATGCTCCCGGGAACTAACATTATCACATTCTACTTTGGCGAAATACTCCAGAACGCCGGTATTCAGAGTCCAAATACACAACTTCAAATCAACGTCATTCTCACATCATGGAGCTTGGTCATTGCCGTTATCTCAGCCTGGTATACGGATTTGCTGGGCCGGAGGCAACTTTGCTCTGCCAGTTTGTCCCTGCAGACCGCCTTCATCTTCATATTTGGCGCGCTCACGAAACTGTATGGCGAATCAACCAACACTTCAGGTATATATGCAACTATTGCCGTCATATTCTTGTATAATGCAGCGTACAACTGGGGCATCACGCCGCTTACGGTTCTCTACCCGCCCGAAATCTTGTCTTTTGAGATTAGAGGAGTCGGTATGGGCATCTATACTTTCGCTACAAAGTGCTGCGGTCTTCTGGTGACCATGGCCGTACCTTTCGGCTTGCAGGCTATTGGATGGAAATTCTACATGATAAATGGCTGTTTCGACGTTTTAATGCTTGTTTTCGTTATCTTAGTGTGGGTGGAAACTCGTGGACTCAGTCTTGAGGAGGTTGACAGGCTATTTGACAAGGAAAAGCGTGAGGTGGTCGCTGAGCAAGTCCATGAAGAGACGAAAGTGGACATAGAGCACAAGGAATGCTGAGAGCAATGCTGGCAAAGCCTAGTTATAACCTGTAACTCTAAACGGTTCATATCTTGATAGCAATGGTTGCACTAGTCTTCGACAGCAACACTTTATTATCAGCGATCTACCTAGAACTCCGCTCTTCCCCATGGTGGTAGCAGTGCCTTTAACGGCCACTCTGTCTGGACAAACCGACACTCTAAGTTGTATTCTCCCGACCCAACTCTTTGCTCTTTGCCTTCTTGATCCCCCAGCTCATATGTTCCGCTATCACTAGGAAGGCTGACGACGGCGGTAGAGTTTGGAGGCACACGTAGTCTCATACGGAAAAGGTCTCCCTTTAATGTCCATCTTAGCTCAATCCGGCCGTACCTCGACTCGAACACGGTATCCGCCCAGGTCAGCTCCTTATTGGGCCACGGCTTCACTCGAAATACCTTCCAGCCAGGGTCAATTGCCTCAAGGCCACCTATATCCGCGTGCATCCAATTTGCGATACTACCGAGAGCATGATGATTGAAGCTTGTCATTGAACCGGGGTTGACAGTCCCCTCTGAGAGCATGCTGTCCCAGCGCTCCCACGCTGTGGTAGCTCCCATCGTAATGGGATACAGATATGAAGGACACTTCTTCTGGAAGAGCATGGCGTAGGCTAGGTCGACACCACCAGACTGAGTGAGCGCGCGAGAAAGAAGCGCACTGCCCACAAATCCAGTGGTAATCTTAAAGTCATTCAGACGAACCAGTCGGAAGAGACGAGCCGCAGCCTGCGCCTTCATTGAGCTACCTCCAGATTCTGGAAGGAGATCAAACCACAGGGCGAGTGAAAGAGCTGTTGCAGTATCTGGAACCACAAGACCAGCTGCCGTCAGATACTTGTTCTGCCACGAATGAACTAGACGCAGGGCGGTGTCTCTGAACCGAGACGAGTCTACTGGTTTGGCCAGCATTGCGGCCACCTCTGCAGCGATCTGGGTGGAAGCAATAAGGAAACAATCAGCAACGAACGTACCATCCGTAGTGCCTCTGCCAGAATCATTCCGAGGCGCTCTTGGGTCCAGCCAGTCACCAAATTGCCACTGCTCAGGATCCCAAAGTCCATCCTGACCTCGAGTCACGCCCTTCTCCAGGTATTGAACCATGCTGTCATACTGCCCCGAGAGAAAACTAATATCACCAGACATATGATATAGACCCCAGGGGACCATGATTGCAGCGTCACCCCAAACGCCATTAGGCATCGGATCCCATCCGTGGCCCCCGTCGCCGGTTCTTAGTAAAGAATTGGGGATAAACAAGGGCACGACGCCTTGGCGCCAGTATTCGGTCTCTTCCATCTGATCGAGGTATAGATCTTGCAACCAGTTCCTCAACATACCAGTCGTATCATACAAGAAGTTGGCCGTAGGCGCAATAATGTTCAGGTCTCCCGTCCAACCGAAGCGCTCATCTCTTGATGGGCACTCGGTAGGCACACTAAAAAAATTGCCCTTGATGCTACGGAGAGAATTTTCATGTAACCGATTAACATCATCGTTGGAGCATGAAAACCAGCCTGTACGCAGCATGTCGGTATGCATCACTTCAGCGACGATGCAACCCTTGGTGAGAGGGCAGCTCTTGTCGTCGGGGCCCCAACCCGTGATCTCGACATATCTGAACCCGTGGAAAGTGTGTTGCGGTTGCCAGTCAAAGAGCTCCCGGCCATCGCATATTATAATGTCCCTGGCTTTTGCTGTCCTTAAGGGACGACACATAATCTCGCCGTCTTGGATGACTTCCGCGTGACGAAATGTGATTTGAGAGCCCGCAGGTTTCTGGACTCTTCTAACGCATATACGACCGGCAATATTTTGCCCAAAATCCACAATAACAGCACCTCCTGATCGCGACTTGAATATGTCTTTTGGTTTGAGCTTCTCCACCACTCTGACCGGCGGGGCTTCCGGAGACACGAGCCTGCTTACTGGAATAGGCGATTCTTGAACCGTGAATTTGGCATCGTCCGATTTTGAGCTCATACTCAGACTTTGGTCGAAGATTTCGCCATCCAATATTTCACCGCTAACAAAGGATGTGTTCGAGACGCTCCAGCTCAGGTCAGTGCTCACCAAAATTGGCAAGGTGGAGTCTCCTGCCCAAATCTCCAGCTGTGCCAGCACACCGAGTTTCTCGCCGTATATGAATCGTTTCCTAGCCCAACTAGTAGCAGAAGCAAACCAGCCGGCAGCCACATCTATCTCGATTTTGTTCCAGCCAGGTGTTACCAAAAGATCTTTGGTATCGTAAACCTGGTAGTGCAATCTCTTGTGGTAACTTTGGAAGCCCGGGGCTAAACAGTGATCGCCGACCTTTCTACCATTGATCCGTACGCTATACACGCCATGGCTGGTGGCATATAGCCGACTGTTTTCAATAGATCCGTTTTTTAAAGATAAATAAAACCGCTTGTAGAAACACAGCGGGCGGGCTGAATGGTCCAGGCTCAGAGGCCATGGCTCCGATACAGTGATCATACACCCCCTCCAGTCACTGTTTCTCAGTAATGCGATCTCCAAAGTGGACGACGGGGACCATTCGGTCATAGACTCATGGTCGTTCTCATTATTACTCCCACCAGATATAGAATATCTGCCGTAGCACCTGACGCGTACAAAACAACGTGTTCGTGATTCGAGTGGCTCCGAGTTTGGCCACGGTACCAAAACACTGTCTTCGCTCTCTACATGGAAGACTTGGCCAGGCTCTATGTTATTGTAGGAGAGCGCAATGTCATATGCTGTCTGTCTCCAATTGTGAATCTGCGCGTTCGTGCATGAAAACCTCCATGAAAGCCTTGGACGCACACTTTGAACTCCAAAACCATCGTGATGCTGCTCAAAAGTCGGTGGAAGAACCGAGACCGGAGTGGTTGAGTAGCCCATGTCTCGGAGGAGATTTCTGTGGTCAAGGCGACAAGAGAAGCCACATGGCGAACCATTTAGATATCCTGATTTAAAGGCGATGTGCTCCCTAGCTTTATACCAAAAATAATCAGATACCCCCCTTTTGCTTTTCGCTCGTCTCAGCATCGATGAGCGGCGCTAGTTACTATTGCTTGCATTCTCCGGAAGACCGAAAGTCCGAGCATTTAATAGTATCCCGAGCCCCATTAACAAAGTATACTCCTTTATTTTATTTGACAGTATTGATTACTCACGCCTAACCACATATATGCTCGTAACTAATTAAACTTAAGGTTATCATCTGGGAGATCCATGATAGAGGGTATTAAATAGCTGTACTGGCAACCTGTTGCGATCCAGCCAATCGGAACAGCGAGCAATCCTTCAGAAACTTGTTCCATTACAAAAATCCCTACAATTGAGATTATTGGCCAAAGTCCTTTGCCCGGCTCGGCTGAACAATATAATATCGAATCGTTACAGGAGCGGGGTAACAGAACGATCTTAAATTCCGCCACTGAATTCCGTGAATGTTGTTAAAAAAAAAAAAAGTGGAGGATACCTGGTTCCTGGTATGATATGGTATGTGTACCCCGTACTCCGTACTGGGGCGCGATATTAGCTGAAAGTAAACCCAACTTGACCCCAGATGGTTACCTCCACGAGTTGGTGGTACTAGAACGTATAGCTGAACACTTATGCTACATCCTATCAACGTGTCAATGCAGTAGCGGGTTTTTTTTTTTTTTTTTTTTTTTTAGATCCCAGCCTAAGAATTAGCAAGACGGTATGTCCAGAGTTTAAAAGGCGGCATTTTAGCTTTAAGGTAATCCGGAAGCATCGGGACGCCAATCTAAGAACGCGATATCCGGAACCGTTTCTCCGGCACAGCTTTCGCATTTCCGGTCTCTGTGCGGCTAATGTAGTTCAAAAAGTAATAATAACGAAGGGCCACCCCACTCCACACCACATAGTTCACGTACACTTTGTCAAGTTGCAAACCACAGCTTATCACAGGTTGCCTAGGAGAATGTCAGAATACTCGAGGAACGTCAACACTATGGCAACTCAACAACCCCTACCTTCGGCAGGAGGGCTCCAGAGCAGCCCTCATCTTAATAAAGTTAACGAGGACGATTGGCAAACAGGTCAACTTTCAGCGCCAGAACAGCATCTCTGCAGTCCGGGATATAAGTGCCCAATTCGCGAGCGCTTGAAGCACTTCACCTGGGCTTGGTTTGCAGTCACCATCAGCACTGGTGTTCTCGGCCTTCTCTTCCATAACACGCCTAACCGCTTCGATGGGCTCAATGCTATTGGCAAAGTAGCATTTATTCTGGCTATTGCCATGTTTCTTGCCTCTGTCGCTGCGATTACATATCGATTCGTCAAGACGCCTAAAGGGTTAAGGACAAGCTTACTGCACCCAACCGAAGGCTTGTTTTTCCCAGCATTCCTCCTAAGTTTGGCTATTATTCTTGCCAACTCAGCTATATATGGCGTTCCAGCATCAGGTCCTTGGCTACCCGTGGCCCTAAGAATATGCTTCTGGATCTACGCTGCACTAGCTCTCTCCTCATCTGTAGTGCAGTACACCATCGTCTTTAATGGGGCTAAGCTCAAGATCAAGTCAATGAGCCCCCTTTGGATATTTCCTATTTTCCCTACACTATTAACAGGAGTCGTAGCTTCCACAATTGCGCCATCACAACCGCCCTCACAACGATTGCCTATCCTTGTTGCAGGAGTTACCTACTTGGGCCTGGGTTTTAGCGTTGCTTTTATCTTATATGCATTATACCTCTACCGGCTTACGCAGGAGGGATTCCCGGCTCCTCCAATGCGTCCGGGAATGTTTATTGCAGTTGGTCCCCCGGGATTTACAGCGACGGGCCTCATCGGCCTTTCTAGATCTATCCCAGATGGCTATGCATATTTCGCTAGGTTTCTTGCTGCATCTCAGATATTAAAAGTTCTCGCACTATGGGTCAGTATTTGGTTATGGGCTTTGGCTTTCTGGTTTTTTTCCTTCAGTCTCATTGCACTTTTGATGGGTATAGCGAAGAAACGCATCCGCTTCTCTCTAGCTTGGTGGGCAATTGTCTTCCCTAACACAGCCTTTACTATTGCGACGTGTCTTATCGGGGAAGAGCTTGATAGTGACGGTATTAAGGGCGTGGCAAGCGCTATGACTATTTTAATTGTGATTGGATGGTTCGTGGTGCTTGGTTCGCATATACGGGCTATAATGCTCAGTAAGGTCTTATGGCCTGGTCGCGATGAAGATTTCGGGCATTATACTCCTAACAAGGATAAGTCAGGGATAAGCCACTAATTATATACTTAAATATTATTAAAATAAATTAGATACACTGATCTAAAAAGCAGTGAGCTCCCCAGTCGTATACTAAAAACACTTGAATGATCGTCGACTATTCTTTTTTCTTTTTTTGGCCCCTCTTGGTACTTATTGGCAGCGCTAGTTAATTCAGTATATCCAGAATACCGGTAGTCCGAACGTTTAAAAGAATCTCAAGATCCATTCGTACAGCATATTTCTTTAGTTTAGATAATAGTACATGACAAATTTGGTTTCATTGCTGAGCATAGGGCTAGACTGGCCAGAGTGTCTTTGTGTTACAAAAACAGTAAGCAAACTCTCATCTAATTCCTCTATTTACAAATAGTAATTAAGCTATTTGAAGGATTTAAGAGAAATACAATTACAGACCCAGCTAGTTTCCTTGATACTTAAGCTGGCTTTCCAGACTTTCCCAAATGTTGGTGGAAAACTATCTTTCCCAGATATCCACCGTCTGCGACAATAATTAGCCCATCTACTTTATATTTCCGCATATGCCTCACTTGTAGGTATATTCTCATAATTGAAAAATCCTGTTAATATTATGTACCTGTCTTTAGCATCCTCTATTTGCAATAGTAAGTGGTGCACACAAATTTCTCCACCTAGGATGTCCCGTAGCGACAATTCTTAATCACTCCGTTTGAAGTCTCATTGTGATAGCACTGGCCCTGTGCCGAGCCGTCTCCATTCGCAATATAAAACTTGTACGATCCATCAGGCTGTTTGTAAAAGTCGATATTCTTAGCTCCGCAGAGATTGGTGCCACTCATCGACATGTAGGACGAGCCGATAGAGCCCTTGATCTCGGCGTTGTTGTCTATGGCATAATTGACTCCGCCGCAGTTGTATTTATTTGACGGAACACCCCACTTTTCCGTGGTGCCCGCTAATTCGACAATATGGAAGTCTGCGGAGGCAAAACCCCCGATCCATAGGGACAGGACAAGAGAAGAAGGCGTCAGAAACTTCATCCTAAAGCGTGCGTAACAAGAAGGGTTTAAATTGGTTGAAATAGTTTATATTAGATACCTTGTCGATTTCGTTTCGGAGTACCAGAGGAAGTAATATGCTATTGTTAAAACAGCAGCGCACGAAACAATCATGTGGCGATGAGAGAGTGTAAAAGTAACGGCCACCTCTGCGCTCGTCCGGGTATTTGACGTAATAGCAGTATGAAATCAAACTCCAAACCACTTTTTATAGGCATTTTAGCCGTCTACCCCAACTTTCCAAATCTCTATGTGGTTACACATATGTTTATTCGTATTGGTTTAACGCTTAGTTTTGTCCCGTTTACACACGGCCATTATTATGTCACAACAAATTATGCCACTAGAACAGAAGTCACTATTCTGCGACGGATTTGTAATTGGGGCCGACTAAATACAGCAAAATTACATTATACGTAAACTCTAGGGCTGAGAAGGCTATGAGTTTACACTTGATTAGCTTCACAACAATCCGTTATAGCGTTCAGCTAAGAGAAGAATTGAAGTAATAATCTCAATTAAAGTAATTATTATGATTGAACCTCTTATCACAATTTTCAATTTAATCTCTATAGTAATTAGTATAATACAATCAGCTGTTTATGAGGGACTAATTACTATTATGCACCAAATTGCAATGTCGAAACGACTGCCTTATGATATCCGGGGGATAATACCGTAAGACCTCCAGACGTATGCCACCACGCCATGGGGGCAGAAGGTAACAACAGTGGCATATATCGGTACTTACTATGCCATTGCCTCTGATTGGCTCATAACACTAATGAACTACTTCATTAGGTCTCAGTCCAAACGGTTCTTAAGCAAAGCAATATACCACTAAAAATAGCTGGTGTTTTATCACATAGGGGTTTAGGCTGGTACTTTTTTTTTTTTTCTCAGTAGCATACAACCTTTTACCAGTCGATTCTCAACAAACCTCGATTATCTCGTCCCTTATATTAGTGTTTCTACCATCGAGAATACGAATTTTATTAAAGTATTCCGCTATACCTAAGCGCTAACAGGGTAAATGATTAAGCCAATGATTGCAGTTTTCGCAATTATTGTGACGGAACCAGCTATAGATACCGGATCTAGCTGTTACGGCTGACCAGATCGTAACACTTACTGACTAGAGGGTTCCCACCAATGCAACAAGGTTCTAGTCAATCACTAGCTCAAGCATATATGTGCTGTTGGTTCGACTGACCTATCTATGGTCGGTTTGCTATTCACTGGATAGTGTTCACGTAAGAAAAGGATACCAATAGCACTCCAGTACCTAGGTACTCAATGACAATCTTCTTGGGGCCTGCCGCCGCTCTGAAGACTTAATCTGTCTTAGCTAACTTAGTGTAATGTGTAACAGGGACGTCCCTACCAACTATTGGCTTCCAACCACGAAGTAGTGCCCCATAAGTGTCAATTCTACTACGTGTTATAATATGTTTATAGCTAGTTAATAATACTAATTTTCGTTTAAATAGTGTATATATATATTTATGATTTATTAATATTCATAAGGTTTTTCAAGTCTAACGATCAACATATTAATAAGTAGGAATTGGTTTGTTATATAAAATTTATTGACTTTATTTCCTTTTAGAATATGCACTTATTAAAACTATCTTTAACTATCTATATCAAACTCCAATCATACGTGAAGCGATCTTCTCAGACAGTGTACTTAAAGATGCAGAGGTTGTAATCTCAAGTATCGTTGCTTCTACCTTAAACTCCATCCGCAACCGGTTCCTAAACTCAACAGCAGCCAGTGAGTCAAGCCCGTAACTCGCCAACGGGCGAGTCGGCTCCGCCATTTCGCTGAGGTTCATCGTCATGGTAAATAGTTGAACAACTGCTTCTGTAGCAGCCTGGTGTACGGCATTATAGCTAGCCTTGTTCTTTACTAGCAACAGCAGGTTCTGAACTTCCTGGAACCCTTGGTGTTTCTCATTTGCAGAGCCCCCGTCGCTCTGATCGCCAAAACACAAGGTTCCGAAGCGGCCATCTCTCATGAGGAAGGAGGTTTCCCGCTGCGGGACAGCTATACTGGTGATGAGGTGCGATTCGCTGGCTGTACTCATTGGGTCGATTTGCTGCCGGATGGAATATTCCACCAGCTTCAACATGAGCGGCTCGTTAATGGGCGTCCAAATGTGGTCATCGTCGAAGTGGCTGAGGATGTCCTGGTTATGACTCAGATAGCCGACGTCTTGGATGGCGCCGAGATTGACCGAGTTGGCTTTGAGACCACGGCCTCGACGGTAAGCGGCGAATGCGTCCAAGAAGGTGTTTGCAGCAGCGTAATTAGCTTGGCCTTTGTTTCCTACGATACCAGAAACACTAGAGAGCATAGTGAAGAAGTCGGCGGTTTGGCCCTCTTCTAGCAACACGTTGTGAAGATTCCAAGTGCCCTGAATCTTGCAGGACACAGTCTGCGTGTAATCTTCAACTGTCATCGAGGTGAAAATACGATCCTGGAAAGGAAATTGAGGGTTAGCCAAGTAAACTACCAGGGTGGGGTTAACCAAATAAACCACTTACTCGAAGAACCATAGCCCCCTGGATGACACCACCTACGGGAACGCTTATCTTCTTGAACTCCCTCTTTACATCCTCCTTACACGACACATCTCCCCTTAGCAGATCCACTGTGCAACCCAGAGCTTTCAGTTGTCGAAGCACGCGTTGAGAGACGTCGTCTTGATACCCGCTTCGAGCCAGTATAGATAAATGTCTGGCTCCTAAAGTAGCCATATGAACTGCCAGGCTTCCACAAAGACCTTTCAAACCACCAACAAGGAGGTAAGAGACGTCTTTGCGAAGACGGATCTCTCGTTTGCGTGGCCGGACCGTCACATCGAATGGCTTGCCTTCACCACCACTAGAAATGACCAGCTTGCCCAGATGAGTAGCGGAGCGGAGGTGCTGGAGCGCAGCGTTGATTTCCTGGTAGGGGAAGACTGTCATGGGAGTGATGGGCTTGATATGGCCGCCGTCAAGTAGAGTCAACATTTGTCGCAGGAGGCGTTTTAGGAGCTGGTCCGAAATTTGATCGTGGCCCATATCAACGCAGCGGTAGGACGCGTTCCGGCCAAAGGGCTCCATGCTTAGTGCCTTGCGGTCCAAGAAGTCCCGCTTGCCGAGCTCGACTAACGTACCACCCGCGGCAATGCATCGCCATGACTCATCGAGGAGGTCTCCAGTCAAGGAGTTCAGGATTACGTCGGCGCCGTAGCCGTTAGTGGCTTTCATGAGATCTGCCGCGAAGGAGATGTCGCGGGAGTGGAAGATATGGTCGGCAGGGATGCCCCATTCATTCATCAGGAGCTCTCGTTTCCTCTGATTGCCGACGGTGACAAAGATCTCGCATCCGATATACTTGAGGATCTGGATGGCGGCTAGCCCAAGACCCCCAGAGGCGGAGTGGACCAATACCTTGTGCCCCGGCTGCGTATTGGCCAGGTCATAGATTGAGTACAGCGCCGTCAAGTAGCAGAGAGAAAGCGTGGCCGCCCCCTCGTAGGACATGGAGTCAGGGATGGACCAAACACGATAGCTGGACACGTGGAAGCGGTTGGTGAAGCACCCTTTTTGAAAGAAGGCGACTCTCTGCCCGGCTTGGAAGTTCGAGACAGCCTTGCCCACGCGGCGTATCCTTCCGCTGCCTTCGAAGCCTAGTAGGTGCTCATCTTCGGGAACGATGCCCATCGTGATAGCTACGTCCTTAAAGTTAACCCCGGCTGCGTACATGTCCACCTCCACCATGTGATCATCTAGCGGGCGTTCGCTGGTGGCCACCTCGGTCCACATCAATGACGTGATGGTGCCCACTCGCTCGCAGTGAAGCTGGATGGTGGACTCAGTGTTGTTAAAGGACTGGCTGATGGGCTGAGCAGCACCTGGTCGAGCATCATCCGACACTTTGTTGACTTGATCGTCTGGAAGGACTCTGCTGATGTGAAGTAGCCCTCGCCGTTCCACAAACTCGCTATCTACGTGAGAGGTGGCGTTAGGGGGCTGGCAGCAGCAGCCGATGTGTTGAAGGAGAGACTGGATGGCCCTCGCTGTGATGTTGTGGTCTTCTCCCGTCACATCGAGTGTAGTCAGGCTGAGGCTCGGATCTTCAGCCCTGGCCGTCCTCGCTAGACCGTGGATCATAGACCTATCTGGCTCGGAGACTTCCATCTGCGACCCAGAAGTCACCCAGAGAACCCGCTTGCCACTGGCTAGGAGGTCTTTGCATGAGTTCCAGCGATCTACAGTCATGGCATCCGCAGTCATGAGAGAGGTATCGAGCTCATCCAGCACTAGAACGCGGTCGACAGACTGGCTGTCGTTCTCGCCGTAGTGACTTAGGATCCAGCCATTATCTCGGAGAGCATCTAGAACTTTTACAGCGCTGGGCCCAGGCTTGGAGGACAGACGGTAGACAGCCACCTGTCTCCCCGTGATGTCAGGAGTATGCGGAATGTTGAAGAGCGAAAGGTTCGCAAACAGGTCAGTGGCCTCTTCAAACATGATATGGCCAGCGGTAGAGAACTCCCCTAGGTCAGACAGCTGCTTGAGATAGACACCGGCGTCAAATTGCTCAGCTTCACCGTTGAGTGCTACACCATTCTGCTCGGGTCTCGTGGGGGGCGCTCGTTGGAGGAGGAAGAGGACCTGAGCTGCCTGACTAGCCACCTCTCTGATTTTCTTACATAGCTCTCCCACCTTTTTCGCATCTGAGGGCATGCGTACAATGACCAAATCAAACTGGGTGGCCTCCTTTTCGACTTGAAGCAGATGATCTAGGTTCTCCATCAGGGCCAGCTCCGTCTTGTCTGAGGCATACTTCTGTCCAGCTTCCACTAGAGATTGTGGGTCTTGAAGCAAATAGTAGAAGTGACGGCATGGTTTCTCTAGGTGTTCGTTCGTAGCCATGGCGTTGGCCCAGATGGACTCATGCTCACCAAGGACTGTGTTCAACTCCAGCACGCGCTGGACGGGCTTCTTATGAGCAGCCATGGCGACAAGACCATGAGCCACACTGACGCTGGCATCGCCGCGATCTTCTTGACTTCTGCACTGCTGCTTCGCCTCTTCCACCAATGTTTCCAGTGAGGCCTGTGTGATCAAGGTGGGGTCCGGCTTCCAAGACAGCGCGGTGAAGGTGTGAGAGTCGTACACAGTCTTACCTGTCTCGATCCTATGATAATGAAGCCCGTCTAATTTGAGTACGGAGATGCCCGTTTCTGAATCATACACAGCAGCATCGGAGACAAAGTTCTTGATGTCGTCACGGCGTCCGTGCCCAACGTACCTGGACGTCGTCCGAGCCAGACCCCGAGTGGCTAGGGTAGGGGTTATGGTCAAATTGTCAATTACGGCGGGGATGAGCACCCCCGCGGCGGCGTTGCGATGGCCAGCCCACAGAGATGGCGCGCAGGCCTGGAAGCAGGCATCAATGGCGGTCGGGTGCATGGCGTACGTGGACTGTGTGAACTCGCTGGTAGGGGGTTCAAGAGACAGTAGGGATCTGTTGACGCGCTCTCCCGGTATAGACTCTACTTGCAAAATCTTTGAGAAGCTAGGGCCGAAGTTGTAGCCAATATCGATCATGGACTTACGCCACACTCTGCCATTGACCGGGAGCACGAGGGGCTGAAGCTCTTCCTCGACACCCCTAACTTCCTCTCCTTCCTCGGTGCGAATTAGCCCGCGGACGTGTTCCGTCAAGGCATAATTCTCTGCCACCGAAAACACTTTGAACTGATGCCAGCCCCCGATGGCAGTGTGCGCATCTGTCAGGGTGAGTTGGATCTTGGTGGCCTGGCCATTCTCGTTGAGAACCATGGCCTTGTTGAATTCGACGTTGCGGAACCGATATTGGGGCTGTTTGATCCCAGGGCTGCCGCTCTCCAGCAATTGCAGAGCCTCCATCTTCTGATAGATCGCCTCCATCGCCATGGCTAAGTAGCCCGTGGCAGGGAATACCAGATCAGACCCCATCTTGTGGTCCATGAGCCAGTTCAGGTCTTTGGCGTTCAGGGACTTGACGAACGTGGGGTGGTGCCATGGGCTACCGATGACCTTACTTCCCAGCAGGTCATGGTGAAGGAACAGGCGGTTCCTCCAATCCTTGCTGGACTCGCTCTCGTACCAGTACTTGGTCGAGTGGTCCCAGGCGTAGTTAGGGAGATCCACCACAAACTTGGGCTTCGCTGCCCCATCTCTGTGGTTGACCTGGGCCAGATCAATGCTTCCTCCGGCCATGTAGAGACGCCCGGCGACCTCGAATATGGCTTGGATGGCCTGTTCCCCACGAGCCATAGCGCTGCAGTACTGGATACCAGGGGGAATCTCCAGACCACCATCTCCCTTCAGTACTTGAGAGACGGGGCCCTTAAGGGCTCCACTGGGACCAATCTCAATCAGAAAGTTGGCGGCTCCCTCTTTAGCGGTGATCATCTGCCCGAGAGCCTGGTTGAACAAGACGGGGTTTGTCATGTTGTCTCTCCAGTACTCAGCATCGGCAGCCCTGGCCATCCGCTTACCCGTGACAGAGGAGAACATTTGAACAGCATGCTTTTCTCCAGAAGCGTCAGAGGGGACCTTCAGGGGACCTTCTTGAGCAAAATCTTGGTTCAGCAGTTTCATATATTCTGAGCTGGTGGCCTTCATGAAAGTGGAATGATATGCGAGGTCAACCTGTAGCAAGCGAGCAAACTTTCCATCCTCCATCAACTTGACGCGCACCTCCTCCAGCCCATCCAAGGTCCCTGATAAGGTCAAGCTGGTAGGACTGTTGTAGCAGGCGATCTGCACCCTACCTTCCAGCTCATCCAGGTAAGGACCTAGCTCTGTAGCTCCAATGCCGATGGCCATCATGCCTAACTTCTTGGCTGCCTGTCCTGGGCTGGAGGTTGAGTCGACAGCCGCAGCATGTCCTCGATGGTAGGCCGCTCGAATGGCATCCTGCTTGCTTAGCAACCCAGCCGCGTACGCAGCCGCAATCTCACCAGAAGAGTGGCCCACGACACTCTGTGGCTTGACGCCCCACCGAGCGAGGACTTCAACCAGCACGATCTGCAGGGCCGTGACGAGGGGCTGCGAGAACTCCGGCAGCCGAAGATGGCTGGCCTCTCTGGGAGCCGTCAATTCCTCCAGCAGACTCCACTTTGGCGGCACCACGCTGGACTGCAAAGCCTGGTCCAGCTCAGCAATGACCTCGCTGGCGTGAGGGTGGAAGGCCTCGACGATGGCCTTGCCCATCTGTGGCCACTGCGCCCCCTGGCCAGTGAAGATGAACCCGATCTTGACGTCACTGGCCATCTGCTTGCCTGTGGTTAGAGCATGCTCGTCCATAGGGGCCTTTGGGCTGACTATGAATCCGCGGTTGAAGTGGCGAGACCTTCGCAAGTTCAGGGTATATGCCAAATCAGACAGGGACACTTTGACAGATGGATTGGTCAAGTGATTCTTCAGTGCTTTAACATTCGCCTTGAGCGATGTTTCGTTATTGCCGGAGAATGTATAGAGGAGTGGTCTCTGCCCATGATTGAGGGGACTACTTAACCCTTCCTCTTCTTCGTCGTCGTCAAAAAGACTGGCGCCCTCTGCATATGAGGAGCAGTGCCTATCTGCCCAGCCCGGTAGCAAGACTTTAGGTTCTTCCAGGATGACGTGGACATTGGAACCCCCATAGCCGAAGGAGTTAACACTGGCGCGTTTAAAGGGAGCCGGCGGCCAGGGGATCTTGTGTCGGATCGCGCGGACACGGCATCCTTCAAAGTCGATCTTCGGGTTGGGGGTAATGAAGGTGGGATTCCCAGGAATGACGCCGTGTTCGATGGCCAGAACCGCCTTGAGGACTCCCGAAATACCAGCCGCTGGTTCCGAGTGTCCAAGGTTGCTCTTGATAGACCCGATGATCAGAGGTTTCTCTGGTAATCTCGAAGCTGAGAAGACAGAAGCCACACCCTTCACTTCCTGGGGATCGCCAGCTTGGGTGCCCGTTCCGTGGAATTCCAGATAGGTCGTATCATTGAAGTTCGTGATGCCGGCGTTGGCATAGGCACAGCGGATGGCTTCCGCTTGAGCCTCGTCGCTAGGACTAGCTATCCCCGGTGTGCGGCCATCACTGTTCGAAGCAATACCTCTGAGAACTGCTCGGATTGGGTCACCATCACGGACCGCATCCTCCAGCCGCTTCACATAGATGGCGTTGATTGCTTCGGCCTTGACGTATCCATCTGCCTTGACGTCAAAAGTGTGACACTGACCAGTCAGAGTACCGGCGGCCTTCATAGCGCCTACGTCGATACTGTGCTCCGGATTGAGATAGATGTTCGCGCCAGCGCAAATCACACCGTCTGCCTCCCCTGTGTGCAAGTAGCGTGCAGCGACATCCAGTCCCACCAGACTACCTGAGCAAGCCGTGTCTATCGTCATGCTTGGCCCTTTGAAGTTGAAGGCATGGCTTATCCGGTTGCTCAGCATGGCGCGCCCTATTCCGATCACCGTATCAGGCACTCGGTCTTCAGGATTGCGAGCTTGCATGTCGGCGTAGTCCACGGCGTAGGACCCTACATAGCAACCGATCTTGGCTCCGCTCAGGTTCTCGATGGGAACACCGGCGTTCTCTATGCATTCGTACACAACCTCCAGCAGTTGCCGCTGTTGAGGATCCATAGCTGTGGCATCGCTACCCGAAACACCAAAGAAGGAAGCGTCAAAGTCCCGCGGATCAATGTCCTCTATGAACATGCCACCTGGTGACCGCATGGTCTTTGGCTTGGTAGATCCGTTATAGTGGCCTTTCAGGTTGAAGCGAGTTTTGGGCACATCGTTATTAGCTACGCCGCCGCGTTCCAAGAAGTCCCACAGCTTCTTAGGGGTTGTGCTGTGGCCGGGCAGGCGACAGGCAAGCCCGACGATGGCAAGAGGTTTTTGCAGGAATCTCTCATTCTCTTGAGAGAGTGACGGCGCTGGTTTATTAACATCCATTATATTTTTACTATTGGAATATTGTGAGGAGGAGGAGAGAGGATAAGATACGTATAAAGGGATATGAAACTAAGAGGCGATAGACAGTAATAAAGGAAGAGTTCTCGTAGAATCCCTCCTACAAACTGTACTCTGGGGTATTACAGTCTCGCACAATTTGAAGAATGTCAGACTGATTTTCGGCTTTTGGAAGTTCGGTTCCAGCCACTGCTGATGAATAGCTAGTAGGTATGAGAAAGTTATTAAATGTAAAGCCGAGTTACAATTATTTTCAATGTTTCAACACTTGGGTTCAGTGTTGCCTCGGAATACGGCACTGTGGGTCTTTTGCAGATTAACTAGGTACCCTGGTTCCAACCTGCCACTACCTATGCTATAGTAGGAAAAGAGGGAATATGTACCTTTACATACCCAAGTCAGACGGTCAGCAATTCACACACAGTACACCTTGTATTACATGCATTAATAGATATTCTTCAAGAACCTGGTATCTCACCGCTTCGTAGACAAACGTAGTGACTGTGTTTATAACCCCTTGTACAGAGGAGACTCTGTTTCCTGGGTTATAGCCAATAAGAAAAGCAGAGGTTTGTATATCATACGATAAGGGACTAGAATTATAAATGAATCCCTGTTATAAATAGGTATATGAGGTATTTTCTAATGTTAGTAGTCTAAGTATATTACTATTTGAATAATGTTCAAAAGATTTAATATAATATAATAAAGAAAAAGGAATTAAAGTCATAATTTCAAATTTTATTTTAAATCATTTAAAAATAATATTATATATAAAATTTACTATTATAATTAACTTACTTTTATATAAATGTTTTTGGTAAATTTTATATAATAGGAGATAAATTATTTATAATATATTAATTATTAAAACTTTAACTAAAATACTTATAATTAAATTTTATAAAATTAGTTATTATGAGTTATATATAACTAAAAATAATTATTTTTAAAAAAAAAATATTATTATTATTTTTATAAAATTATATTTATTATTATTATTAACTTAATATAAATTTTATTTTATAATATAAATTTAAATAAAAAAATATAATAAGTATTAATTAATATATAAGGAAATATAATAAATAGTAATAAAAATAAAATATTAAATTTATAATTAAAAATATTATAAATTAATTTAAAAAAAATTAAATAAATCTTAAGTAAAATATTTTTTTAAAAAAATTTAAATTTATATATTAAAAAGTTTTTAAAATAATTAATTAAATGAAAAAAAAGATTTATATTAATAAAATTTATAATATTAATATTATTATTAAATATTAATATAATAATAATTTAATATTAAATTACTTTAAAAATATAAAAATAATATTAATAATATTAATTATTTAAATATATTTTAAAATATTTTTTAATTTATATTTTTAATATATATAATATATATTTTTAAATTATAATTATTATTTATAATTTTAAAACTATACTAAATGTTTAACTTTAATTAAATTAATATATTATACTTTAGTTTTTATATTTTCTTTTTTAAAAAACTTTAAAATTATAATATATATATAAACTATAATTTTAAAAATTAACATATAAAAGTTAAATTTAATATTAAAATAAAAGGTTTTATACTATAACAGTTAGTATAATAAAAAGCTATATTTTAACTTTTAGTTTAAAATTTAAAAATAATTTACAGCTTAATTTAATTAATAACAGCTAATTTAATTAAATAATAAAAATTTAAATTATATCATTAATAAAAACATAAAAAATATAACTATTTATTAAAGTTTAAAACTAAACTTAAAATATATATAGGGACATTTTATTAAGCATACCCTCTGGCTTAACCAGTATACCCCTAATAGTGGGGCTTATAGATGTAAGTATCCGCCGCAATGTGAAATAATACAGTAGCTCGCTCTGTAATATAGCGGTCTTTTGCTATTGATCTTATTCAATCTGGATGACCTTGATCCAACTGGATGACCTTAATCCAGCTCTTGATTTAACTACCTACTTAAGTAGGCAACTTGGAGAGACAATAATACTTTTAGAAGTTTAGATACTTTAAGGTATTTAAGAAAGTTTTAGAAAATTTTAATAATTAACTGTAAAGGGAATAATCTAACTGTATATAGGAAAAAAGGTATATTAGTTAAGCTAAAGGGTATATTTAATAAAACATCCTTATATATATAAAAAAGCTTAAATAATAAAATTTAAATATTATATAATAAATTTAAAATTATAATTTAATAATTTAATTAATATAAAAAAACTATTATATTAATTTATTAAATTATAAAAAGCAATAATAATTTTATTAAAAATAAATTCTATTTTTTAAATAATTTAATAAAATTAAATAATTACTTTTTTTAATTTATAAAATTATAAAAATTATAAATTAATTATAATTATAAAATAACTAAATGAATAATTAAATGTATAATTAAAAGCTTTTAAAAAAATTAAAATTAAGTAAAATTAAATATAAATTAAATTAGTTAAAAAATATTAAGAAATTTAAACCAAGTAAAATTATTAAAAAAATTATTAAAAAAAATTAATAAAGCAGTTAAATAAAAGTTATAAAATGAACTTTTTTTAATATTAATTTTTTTAAGTAGTTTATTTTTTATATTTAGGGAAAAAAATTAATATATAATTAATATTTTTTTATTAATATTTTTATTTAAAATATTAATATTTACTTAAATTAATAAATTATAATTAAATTTTTAATTTAGATTAATAACTAAATATAGTTTTTTATTTAGTTAATTATTATAATATTAAATTTCTTAAGTTTTATTTAAATTACTTTTTTTAATAGTTTTTTTTAAAAAAGAATTATAATTATTAAAAATAAACTATATACTAATAAAAGTAATTATATTTAATATAATATTTATTTTTAAATTGAAAGCTATATTAAACTTATGCAAAAGTTATAAAATATATAGTTAAGTAGTAAAATATTAAAATAGTTTAAGCTTTAATTAAAATAAAATATAATTGTTATAAATATATTATTAAAGAAATTATAATATTTTTAGTTTTATATTTTTGATAAAATAATATAGTATAGTAAAATATTTAATATATTACAACTTACCTTATGTAGTAAAACATAGTTTATACTAAACTAACCTCTGTAATCCTTATGGCATGCAAGATAAACTCCGCTTTAAGGTAGTCTCGTATTTATTTTAATTGTAGTTCCCCACTAAAATATCCAACGTTTTATTTCATCAGGAATAAGAAGGAAACTTAAGGTTGTTCTCGTTTTACTATACACCGCTGCAATATTACCGCATTCGTTACACAAAAGGAAGAAGTATAGGCACTGGTTGTCGACCCTTTTCATTTTTTCTTCCCATCTTCCAATTAGAGTCATAACCAATCCTGTGTCCATCTGTTATGACTCCCAATCGTCAATGGGTCGAATTCCCAACCCTCGATGGTCTAATCCTCCGAGGATGGCTTTATCCAGCTCAGACCCGAGGACCTGCTATCATCCTCAATCCCGGGGTAAGTAAATATTTCTCAATCTTCTTTACATGTTTTGAGAAATGTTTTGAGAATCCAAGGCTATATATCTGACACGCTTTTTATATTGTCTTCTACTAGTTTAACTGTGTAAAAGAGATGTTTGTACCTGAAGTCGCAGCACAGTTCCAAAATGCCAACATCACAGCGTTAATCTATGATACTCGCTCTCTAGGGCAAAGTGATGGAGAGCCAAGGAACGAGCTGGATCCTGCACTGCAGGTGTCTGACTTCTCAGATGCACTGAGTTTCATGAAGACTCTTCCGATTGTCGACCCAGCTATGATAGGCTTTTGGGGCATGTCCTTTGGTGCCACTGTTGCGTTATGCGCTGCCTCGCTGGATGAGAGAGCTAAATGGTGCATTGCAGTGTGTCCCTTGGTTCAAGTCAAGCCGAGACAAGACATGCTGGCTCGAGTGCTGAGAAAGACTATGAAGGTAAGGGGTTGGAAGCGTTGTAGTTGATTTAGTGATAGGCATGCAACTGATCAAATAACATGTATAAAATAGGATCGAGAATCTAGACTCTTAGGCAATACCGCAACCTTTCTTCCCGTGTTGACAGAAAATCGAGAGAATCCCGCCGGCATGGGAATGGTTGTCAATGATGAAGGATACGAATACATAATGAACGTAAAGAACCACGGTGCGCCTAACTACGAGAACCAGACAACCATGCAAACATACTACAGGTTGATCAGTTGGCAGCCATTCGAGGTTATGAGATATCTCCATGTCAGGCCCTCCCGCGCTTCCATTTTGATGATTGTACCCGAGAACGATCAGATGTCTCCCCCAGAAACGCAGATGAAGTGGTTTGATAGCTTTCCGGAGCCGAAGAAGATTCATGTTGCGATAGGAAAGGGTCACTTAGATGTATTAAGTGGGGGTGACAGTCAGATATTGGCTGACTTACAGGTCAAATTTCTTTTAGATATTATTAAGGCCAAACCTTGAGTTGCCAGTATAACCTAAACAACAAGGGTCTTTAATTATCTGTTTGTTATTTTTGTTATTTACAAATGAAAACTAAACTAATTTAAGTTAATATTAACTAATAGTTTAGTTAATTAGTTAAGTAAATCTAAAATAAGAACAGTTTAGTTACTAAAGCAAAAAAAGACCAATCAATTTAGAAACTCTGCCTAAACCTTTGAGCATAGGGTTACTAGGCTTTTTGCTCTCTCCTCTTACTGTTTCTTAGGTGGGTCACTATTTGCCGGGGTCTTAATTACAACAGACTGCAGAGTTACCGACGGTATATTATTGAAGGTACCAGGACAGGATTTAGGCACTTTCTGATATTTAGCCAATCAAAATATAAAGAAATACAGGGTACATTGCTCAAGCGCTAAAATGCGTGTAAGAATTAGACTCCTGTATCTCACATACTTATACTAATGAATACTTTAGACCTGGCAGCATCCCGTTTATAACAGGGGATTTTAGCG